AGATATACTTACTGGTTGTCAAACTCGGCCAGTAGTTCATCTCTATACCCAGTTAGGCTCCGGTCAACTCTGAGACGAGAGGGATTGATTAGATATCTGACCTAAGTTGATATTGATTGTATACTTGGAACCCCACTCGGGATCCATGTCTTGATTCCATATCCCTTGCAGATTAGGAGGAAGACTTCCGTCCCTCGAGGTTGCAATCAATGTGTACCGCCCAAACTGGAAATACAACGCCACCAACTCAGGATCAAACATCGTGTTATTGATCGCAGCCATTCTTTGGGGAGTGGTCATTGCTTTCTGGGCCGGTGTTGAGCTTCCAAGATTGAGTGAGACCCTTGACATATATTTCTGGTAATCGGCAACGTGAGTCTCGCGAATTGAACTGTAGCTCTTTCCAGCAGCCTTCGCAAGGACAGAAAGCACTGCGTTGCGAGGATTAGGCTGGCGGAATGTTGTCCAGGCAGTGAAATAGATGGTTGCTTCGTCTGCTCCGGAACAAAAGACATAATCTCCAAGGGTATAGACTGATCCGCCAGAGCTTACCACGCGAGCACCAGCTGACCAGTCAATGCCACTCACGCCGTCAGAGCTGCCGCCAAAAAGGATGGTGTTATTGTCAAGGGGTTCACTATAGGCTTCGAACCTATTGAGAGAAGAACCACGATCCAGATGAATCGTAAAACCAACAGACCCAGGTTGGTTTGCAGTAATATGTATAGCGACGACATCGTCCGGGTTGCTTGCGATATACTCTCGAGTGTACTGGACGCCATCGCTCACGTAATACATGCCAGCGGTGCTTTCCTCAATATCAAGCCACCTTTCGTAGCCAGTGACGGTTTCGGTATGGTCCATGGCAAGGGTCAGATAACCCATGCCTGGGTAGTGTTGCGTGGACACGGGAGTGCCTTGGTAACCATAACCCGCTAATGTGGTAGCATTCTGCAAGAAGCCTTCCGTGAGCAAAGATTGCATCTTTTTCACAGTTTGGTATCCGTCTGGATTGACCCGATGTAGCAAGCCCCCGGACCAAAATGAGTCCTCGTTCACTTGGATGGACTCCGAGGACGCACTACCCCCGACCATGGCCCCAACACGGCCATTGCCAATAGGATAATTATCACCGTAGCTGGACGCTGCTGAATGGTCCCAAATTCTATTTGGGTTAGATGCAGAGTCCGGGGGTGCTGCCTCAGCTTGGAAAAGCAGGAGCAGCGAGCACCACACAGTGGCCCGCCGAATCAATTGAACCGACATGATTTCTCATGCAAAGTAATTGTCTAGCTAAGGAAGATCAGCCCAGGAGTGAATTTTCCGTATTGACCCTTTTATGTCATAGCTTGAGGGGCCCCCCCGCACCGCAGATTTACCGGAAGTGTCGACCATAGAGCTAAGTTCAATATTCGGATAATTATTGACCAATCTGAGAACCAAGCTTGCGTTATTACCCGAAAAATAGGCTGCAGCGGGAATTATTCGATGAGTATGCAGATTGTTATGCTTCCCCAGTTACTGGAGGAAACTCGAAACATACTGGAAGGCAAGCAGGGAGCGGGTACAATTTTTTCATTTCTTTCATTTGCTTGAACTTATCCGGGGAATGAGTCTGTGGGATTTGAGTTTAACAGTTTTTCCAGTAGAGAAGATTTTAGGCTAGCAAGGAACGACCGATTTTGAGAGAGAAGAGTTTCCTACACGAGCGAGCTCGTTGTCCCCAGATGAAACAGTGAAATCGCAACCCCCAATCACTGAGCAACCAGACATTCAAGACATTCAATGCCGCTTAACATGGTCATGAAAGAAATCAACGTAATCGAACGCACTTCTCTTGTAAGTTCTTTCGAATGTGGTGTGGTTGAGGGTTTGCAATCCATAGTGGCTGTCAAAGGTACCAAACTCGTTGGTCTCGATGAAGCTCCATGCCAATGCTCCAATAACATTAACGCCATCCTCATGAACCGCTCTTAGAACCTCGGTTAAAAACGCTTGATAATAGATAGTTCGCTCCAGATCGTAACGTTGTGCATCCAACGCCCTCAAGGTGTCACCAGTGGCAGGGAATCCGTACTCAGCAACTAGGACGCCAGCTGGCCGAAAAGTGTCCCAGACATAGTTCATTTGGGCCCGAACATACTCAGGTGCAATGAAGCTGTACGTCACGGAACTGGCATCACCAATAAGCCAGCCATTGGCGGCGTCGTTCGTGGTAACAACACAGGTCGGCCACAGAGGATCCGACTTGTTACGAGCACATGCCTCAATTCCACCCGGAGGCGAAGTCACGTACTGTGCGCTGTACGGGTCAAAGCTGAAGAAGTCGATTTTTCCATGAATGAGCTTCAGTTGAGTCTCTGTCAGCGGACTGATCGGTATACCGGTAGTCGTCAGCACGCTTTTGGGAATCTGTTTGCCGAGGAACATAGGGTTGTTCATGATTCCGAGGCTGAAGTCCTGGTATCGCTCGGCAGCGGCAACATCGCTTGGATCATTGGTATTTAGAGGGATGGCCAAGTTGTTGGCAAACTTCATAGTGATCTGTCCCTTGCCACCGAGTTCATGCTTGTACCAATCATAGAGGTTCGCATGCGCCTCCAATATGTTCGTCAGAGCATTGTTCACGGGCTGGAGATTCGGCTCGTTCACAGAAACCCAGTAAGGAACCCGGTCACCGTACCGGGTCATCAGCTGCTTGGCATAGTACATGTAATGCTCGGTAAACCTTGAATCACTGTAGGAAACGGAGGTTGGCAGGTCATAATGAAGAATAGTGATAATAGGTGTGATCCCATTTGCAATCGCTTCGTTGATCAGATCATCATAGTGGTCAAGGGCTTGTGTATTGATTGGAGATCCGGCAACACCGAAGGGGACCACGCGCGACCAAGGAATAGAGAAGCACAGATTTGGAATGCCAAGGGCCGATAGCCGTTTGATGTCTTGCTTATACAAGAAATAGAACATCGCATCGACGTTCGAGTCATTGGCAGATGATGGCAAAGCTCCAATGTTATCCATGACTGATGGGCCTCGGCCTTCCAACTTCAGACCTCCTTCGATTTGCCATGCACTACTCGCCACCCCCCAAACAAAGTCTGCTGGAAGTTTTAGATTAGTCACCTTGTCTGCATCGATTGGCCTGACTGGTAGCACTGGAGGAAAGACCAGTTCATCGGTCGATACTGGAGTGGGCGAGGCCGTCGTTGTAAAAGGCGGGTGGTCAGCATAGGTGAGGCTTGCACTTTCCCACATTGCCGCGTAGGCACTTTGGCCGTATTTTCCGTCATGTGTCTTTGTCGCCTTTGGATTCAAAGAATAGGTGGTATACGTGATTAGAGGATCCAACAGGTGAGACGCCCGGTGGAAGGGAGGAGCATAAGGTGTAGGAATTGACAGCGGTGACTTTAATGGAGTTGCATATCGGTTGGGAGGCATTGAGGCATACGTGAACGAGATTGTCGGCTCCCCTTGGCCAATGTGACCTTCAGCGGGAAATGCTAACGCTCCATACTGAAGGGCCGTCACCAGTATAGTGAAAGAAGATAGCAGAGACTGCATTTCCGAAAGATACGCAACTTTTCCGAAGCGCAATTTCGAATACCAAAAGACGTAACCACAATGAATTCAAAGCCCACAATTATTCCTAAAAGCAGGAATATATAGTATATCTATTTAGGCAAAATGCCAGTCCAGCATTGGCTGTGGCTTGCTTTGAACTTCCCCGCATTCGAACTAAAGCGTTAGCCCACGCATGAGTCGACGGAAAACAATTTCCCGCGACAGTGAAATTCTATAAGGTAAAGTAACACAATTTACGGTGAGGGGTTGCTATTAATGTTTGCGGCTATTTAGGCTGATGATTTTCGCATTGCTGATCAAGATTGCAGCCGCAGGTTACTTTTGCTCGGTACTCGGAATCAGGACTGAATGAGTTCGTGAGTACCTGAGGTGTTAGCTTTATTTTTTCCTTCTCCGTCGGGAAGAAAAAGAGGTCTGGCACTCTTCAATCGTTTGCGCAGAGCTGCGTGTAATAAAATCAAACGCACACGCATCCGGGCTCCATGTAGTCATTGTCTGGTTACTACCTCCAGCCGTAGTTGTTGTAAAAGACTAGAATCCTGGTACACTAGTGGCGCAAGAATTATCCTAGACATTGCGGGATCCGACGGACACTGTGCAATCAAAGTCACTAAATCACTAAACAGCTCGATAATTGCACCATTCACAAAAAGAGCGAATGCTCCAATGATGGCCACAGGAGACAAATTCTACGAGAAGTGTATCGGTTTGTATTCACTCCACAAAGTGTTAGTCAATCAATAAATAGGGGGCTATACTTCACAATGTCCGCGCTGTTTAAAGTGGAAAGAAATCCAAACAGATGCATTTGGACTCGGGGGTAGGAGGCTAAGGCAATTTGACAAAATTCATGGACCTTGATCATCGAGGGAGGCAACACCCTTCTTACGCGAAAAATTACCCGTCAGAGGACAAAATAGACAATGATACAGAATACCCCTAACTGAGTATCAAGTCGGGGCTTCAATTAGCTCCGAAGTTCTCAATATACGTAGTGATCCTTTGGTGGATCACGGGCTGGGTCTAATTCATCACCACGTGTAGCTTGTTCGATAACTAGTAGTGCATTGGAGCTTACTCAACGTTGGCCCCAATAGCAGGTGGGATTATCACGCACGTAGGATGGAATTGGGATCCAAACTTGAGAAAGTGCGATTAGACTGACTATCACTAAAACCACCTCACTCTGTGATAATAGAATCTTTGCACAATTATCGAAAACAATGCGTAAACAAATAGTAAACACTGATCCTATACACACAACTACATTTTCGGCCAAATTCGGCTGCGCTTATCCGCTCAGCCAATCACATGACGGGAGATGTCATCCGCCATTCCGATGCCGATGCTCCATCCCGAGGTTCTCCCCAACTTCACCTCTTCACTATCGCACAGCACCTCTTCGTCCCATCACCATGGCCTCGATTGTGCGCTCGTCTCCCCTGCTCCGGCAGTCCCTGGCGACCCCCCGGTCGTCGCTCCTGTCGAAGAATGTCGGCGTGTCGCAGCTCGTCGCTTTCCATGCGTCGGCCCGGAAGCAGATCCTGCCTCCGCAGCCTCGTAAGTGATACTCGTTCATTGGGGTGGAGGATATTTGGAAGAGAGGGAGAATTGGATGCTTCCATGGGGATTTTTGATGTGCAGGCTAACGCTCCTTCTCTCCGACCAGAAACCATCCCGGGAACCAGTACGTCTTCGCACCAAACCCCCCTCCGCGCCGCGTTTATGCAGCCATTCGACACTTGCTTCTTGTCAAATGGACCCGGACTCTTGAGAACCGCTGTTATATCTCCCATATAGCCGCGGAATTCCGGGGTTCTCCGCCCGTCGCTATCGCGTTCGACGCTGACATGCCTGCCCTCTAGTGAACGACCCTGCTCCCATCCCCGAGACGCATCCCTCGGAGGGTAGCTACCACTGGTCTTTCGAGAGGTGTGTTGTTTCCCAGGATCACAGCAATCACCGAGCGAGAACACTAATCCAAGTCCAATCCCAGACTCGTCTGCGTCGGCCTCATCCCCGTGACCATCGCCCCCTTCGCAGCCGGCTCGTTCAACCCCGTCATGGACGCCGTGCTGTGCTCGCTCCTCGTCGCACACTCGCACGTCGGCTTCCAGGCCTCGATCATCGACTACTTCCCCGCTGCGCGCGTGCCCAAGACCCGGACGTTCCTCAACTGGCTCCTGCGCGCCTTCACCCTCACCACCGCCGTCGGTCTGTACGAGTTTGAGACTAACGATGTCGGCCTCACGGAGGGTCTGCGGCGGGTGTGGACTGCTTAGATCTGGGGTTGTGTGTGCCGGGTTGTTTCTACTATTTCCTATGTCTTGGTCCCCGTTTCCAGGCGTTGCGCCTATGTATATGCCGTTGATTGATCTCTTTTGTCTTGTGAGCATGACGAATGTCGGTGCTGAATTCAGGGCTCGTGTTGAGCTATAGAAAAGGAATTAACATTGTACGAGAGTTCTTCTTTTCCTTCTAAAGGTTGTATTCAAATGAGACTAGGTATCACATATCGTTCGCGTCAAGACGTAAAACGCATACTCATAGGCCGCTATATACGTGGTATCAACGCCTAATAATCACTCCTCATCCTCACTATCCCCCATCAAAACCGGGTCATCCGGCAAGCGTTCATCATCATCCGCCCTGGCCATGACGGTCTCAATCAGCTTCAGCGTCGCCTTCAGCGGCATCCCAATAACATTATCATAGCTCCCCTCCACCTTTTCAACGAGAATACTCCCCAGCCCCTGCAACCCGTAACCGCCAGCTTTATCCGCGCCCTCGCGCGTACGCACATACGCCAGGATCAACTCATCCGTCACATCATCCCCAAAGTGCACTGCGGTCTCCTCAACGGTGCTCTCAATCACATACCCAGGGTCTCTCGCGCTAGCCAGCGGGGCCATAGCCACAAGCGCCGTGTAGACTTTATGAACCCTGACATCACGCAGCGTCTTGAGCATGGCGACATGCTGAGCCTCGGAGCGCGGCTTTTCCAGGATGCGGCCCGAGGTTGGGTCAACGACGACCGTGTCCGCGGCGAGGATGAGCGCGGGCTCGCCCTTTTCCTCGTTGTTCAGCTCCTGTGCATACACGGCCTGCGCCTTTTTGGTCGCTGTGCCGAGCACGTATTCGAATGGAGATAGCGATTTGGGCAGGTTCTCTTCTGCGTTTGAGGGGATGATTTCTAGGTTCGGGAGGCCTAGATAGCCCATTATTTGCCGCCGGCGGGGTGACGAGGAGGCGAGGATCACGCGCTGAGTGCGCAGGGTATTGAGGATGGGGAGGAGGAGCGGTGGTGGGCGTGGGAGTGGTGGTTTGCCCGCTCCGACTCCGGATGAGGCTTGTTTGAGGGGTAGGGGGTTATTGTAGGCGGGTGGAGGGGAGGGAGGTGTGTCCGAGGCGGAGTCGATGTCTGAGAGGAGGGCTTCTTTGGAGTCTGCCATGGTGTGTAGTATGGTGTCTGTTCCCTTCTGTTCCCTTCTGTTCCTTTTCGATAGAGAGATCTTGGCGGTTGGTGTCCTTTTGGTGCGGGGGGAATGACTCCTTTGGGCTATCGCATCTCAAGAGTTTTGTGCAGGATATTGTTCGAATGAATTCACCGAGGTTCAAAGAACTGAACAAGCCAGTCAAGATCCGGGACGAGAAGGAGCAAAGGTTGAACGACTACGTCCGTCAAGTGCTCGACTCTTTAGGCAGAACGGGAGCGGTGAGCCGTTGCATCATGTGATGGCCTGGAAGTGTGGTTCGGCTTCTCTTCTGCCAGAGTTGCTTCCCTTACCCCTGAATGATGCAAGAAGGACGGAGAAAAAAAAAGTAGTCAATTCATGGAGCAGCCGGCCAGTACAAACGCCCCGGTTGCTTCGCAGCAACAGCCCCTATCCACGTACATTCTGGCATGACAAGACGAGATCCAGCCCAGCAACAAACCAGAAACAAATAAAAATGTACAGGAGAACAGAAAAACTCAGATATCAACGATTAACATGAACCAATTAACCAGCAATTGGATTGGAGGGGGTTGGTGGCGAGGAGGATGCGTAGAGACCAGCAGGATATCCACCAAGCGAGCGAGACGGGAAGAATAGGATCATTGGCAGTAACAATCCGAAACCGTCTGATAGATTTTGGGGGGAAATGCATCTTGGAAAAGGCGTGGGCTCATGTGTTTGGTGCGTGGCGTCTGAACCTCGGCACCCGAGAGCACACCACACCCCAACAGAGAGAGAGAGAGAGTAGGTAAATCGAAAAGACGCTCAAGACGATCAGATCAGAGCATTAAGATGGGCGAAGCGAATCATCCACCACCCCGCCTTTACTCTCAATCTCAGCGATGAGGTCGCGCCGTTCCTGGAGCTTCAGATGCATGAAATCCACCGTCTTCTGCAGGACAATGCTCTCACTCCGGCCCTGGCCCTCGAGCCCGGGCACCAATTCTGTTAACCGATCAAAGCCTTCCCGAATCGCAGCGCGGCGCTTCTGCTCCGACGCGATGTGGTTACTCTTCTTCTCTTGGTCTGTCAGACGCGGCTTCTCTTTGTCGGCCGCGGACCCCTGCTTCGATGTGCCGGTCGGGGTGGATGACGACCGGTCATCGCGGTCGTTCATGCTTGCGTCTGGGGTACGGGGGTCCGGTCCGGGGTGTGGCTGACTGGGGTCGCAGACTCGGATGAATGGGTGGGTGAGGGGGAGGCAGCGAGGGTGGTGAGAGAGCGGTGGATCAGAGACTTCGTGTAGTGGTTGTTATTCTTCTCTCACCAGTCCCTAAGTGTCGGACATGAGACGAGAAGGGACAAGGAGAGAGAATGCGCAGAGGTAAACGAATGGCAGGGATGTTGTGGAGGACGAAAAGCGATAGTGGAGGCGGAGGCTTATCGGCTGTGCGGAGATGCGACTGGGCTTGGCGGTGACAACGCTAGTTGACGGGAAATCGGACGCTTTGTTCTAGGCGATTCTCGATTGATGATGATGATGATAGTTTGTAATGAGAGCGAATACTTATCCACGATCTTGAGGCTATGTCTCCTATAGTTGAGAATGGCTAGTATCTCCCAACGTAAAACTGATCGCGGATTAACTAGGGGGGTATAGTTAGTCTTAAAGGTTACACAGTTACATTTAGAAAGTAATCATCAGTAGGTTTGAAACGGACTATCGATCTTGGCCTAGAGCTTCTGCGTTTAGGTATGAATCAAATAATTATTTCGTTAAGACTTGGCTGACGAGTAACCCCGATGAACAAGCTAGTATTGGGTAAAGGTCCAGACTCAGTTCGGCGGGAGAGAAAAGTAGTCACTGCTGAACGCGGACACAGAAGTGGGACGAGAGCTGATATGTTAATAAATTTTCCATTACATGCAGTATCAGATTTTCGCATTATGCAAACATCCCCATTGAGGGACTGGAGGCAGAAACTAGTGCTATTTACAGAAGGGTGAATGCGCCCACAGCGACACCAGCCATAATCCAGTCCAGGGAATTGACGGCAAGTGCTGAAGCCCTATTTCTAGGTGTACTTGATGGGGTTAAACTGGCCGTGCCTGTTGGATTTGCTGCTGCGGTGCTGTTCGAAGCCTTTAGGAAGTTGTTATTGATTTGATCCCAGAGTTGGCAATTGCTGTAATCCACGACACCCGCAGTAGTTGAGTTGACGATGTTAATCCCAAGAGACTGTAACGAGCTCTGATACGTTGGCCAATGGAAGTCTTTGGTAGATGGAGATCCATTCGCAGCCATAGCAGTCCAAGCTTGCTTCAGGAAAGCGCTGATAGCATATTCCTGGGTAGTAGAATTGCAAGTGCCGTTTGGAGAGGGCATGTTGTCAAGATTGCCAAAGACAAACGGAATCTCGGCTGTATGTGTGGCTCCCACAATTGGGAGAGCCTCTGCTGGGACAAACGAAAGCCATGGACAAGAGGAAGTGTGGTCATACAGGTATGTCCATACGGGGATATTTTTCTGCACGGCGCGATTCAGGCCTCGGTATGCAGAGCACGTGTACGTGGATTCTGTGAGTACTTGAGACATGGCAAAAAATACTGGATACGGCGTCGAGTTGAACAATGATAGCGGATAATATTGCTCAACAAGGGATGCTGCCGAGCCGAAGTTATCCTGGAGAAATGTGGTGTAATCTGCAGCAGTAGCTCCCGCAGGACCGTCCGGATTCGTGGCATATTGCGCGAGTGCGAACAAAGTTCCTTCCGCAGCATCTTATTGGAATCAGTCAGTCCGCGGTCAAATTCTCCAACCGAGCCTGGAAAACCTACTGGAGCCAAAGATCGTAGGAACCCGCACTCCTTCCTCAGAGGGTTGAGAGGGAATAATTTCGCCGTCAAGGTATGGGGCAAATTGACTCGTCTGGGAATTGCCAATACCGACGGCGCCACTAATGCCAATGCCCGAGTTTAAAGCGGGTAGGGATGTAAATGACGCTACTAAATCAGATACCGATTTTGCTCTGAGACAACCGCTCTAATCCAACGTTACGATTAATACGGCCATATTGCCGAAAGAAACTCGATCTCCACTTACATCGTTAAGGCCACAGCTGAGATTCTTCGCAAAAGCTGCCCCGAGGCTCTGGGATGTAGAGTTCAGTTCGACGTCCCGTCCACCTCCGGACTCGGTAATGGCGGCATTTATTAGCTTCGGTGCTTGCGGCAGCGTCGCAATGACAAAGGTATTGGTAGCACCAGCGGATTGTCCGAACAAGAGGACCTTTGCCTGTATTTCACTCCGTCAGAACATTATGACGTGGGATCAGGGAACTGGAGAGTGAGACCTACCGGATCGCCTCCAAAGGCTGCAATGTTTGATTGGATCCACTCTAGTCCCAGTAACAGATCCTGGATGCCTTGATTGCCCTGGATGCCAGCGCTGCTAAGAGAGAGGAAGCCTAGGGGTCCAAGCCTATAGTTTATTGTCACCAAGATAGCATCGTCCTGGGCCAAGTTGCACCCATCGTAGAGAGGATATGAGATGCCACCCGCGTCTTCCCCACCTCCATAGATCCATACTTTGACTGGAAGATCAGAGCGCTTTGTGGCACTCGACGGAGCCCAGATATCAAGGTATAAGCTAAGAGCCAATTTAGGGGTGCACACCAAAGGTAAAGTGAGACGGGATGTATAAGTGCTCACCAGTCCTCGGATGTGTTTCCAGACACTGCAAATAAGGATCCAAATTGTATACAACCGGGGGCAGCTGAGGTTGCCACAAGATGTCCTCCTGGGTATTCCCCTCTGTACGGCTTTGGGGGTGCGAACCGAAGGTCTCCAGTGGGAGGTTGAGCATAGGGAATTGATTTGAAGTAGACAGCGTCTGATGTGCCACTACATCGTCCTCCTTGAATATCGCCTGCGCTAATGGAGACAACAGGTGTTGGAGAGAGACTGGCAGCCCCTCCGAGAGTGCTGAAGGTCAAACCACAGAGAAGTAAGGGAAGCATTGTGTCCGGCAGAAGAGAAAAGAGGGAGAAGACGTTGGTCAATAAAAGCGATTGAGGATTGAAGTGGAACGGCAGCGATATTATATATGTTATTTGGACAGGCTTGTTATATCCAAACTTCTAAACTCAACCCGACAAAAGGGGCCAAAATGCCTTGGAGTCGATCACGCTCTTGAAGTTAATGGGCTTACTTCTATTGGAGTCGATATACGCATGCCTTAAGACGCCAAGTCAGGCACAAGGCACATGCTGGGCTGGGTTCACTCTATAGACCTTGGCAGTAGATCCTTTCTATTTGGATAGTGAAAATGGTAATCACTTCGGAGGGGAAAGTCGGGCGAGTCTCACGGGTAACGAGCAGGGGCCCAGACGCACTAAAACCAATGAAAGTGTTCCCAACTCTGCAGTAAACGGTGGGGGCCCAAATCAGATACTAAACTTTAATTGGAGACACTAGAGAGATGGATATCTCCGAGCTACATACTGTATCGGGTCAAGCGGGGATTTGAAACTCGTCACAATGCACAGCCTCATATTAATGCATGCTGGCTGAGAGTCTCTAGTGACCATTAGAAGCTTGACTATTCCGTATCTATCTTGAACTTGTGCTTGCGAAAATTTATTTAGCATGATCCTTGAGTAACTAAAAGATGTCTTATTGGAATTTAGAGTGATCCGTGTGAGATTTAAGGCCAGCCATGACTGATCTTAGGCTTTTTTCTTTCTCTAAGATACGTATGAAACTGCATTTTCTCCTCAGGATTTTGGGCTAGGAGTAGGGTTTAGAATTACAAATACTTACATCACGCTACCCCTATATCTGTCAAGCAGGGCGCGGCCCATTCAGCCTGCTGAAATCCTTTCTCCAGTCTGGCAGCAACCAAGCCCATATACACAGTGAGGCTGAATGGGGGCGAAGCCCCCATGTCGTTTAACTACACAAGCCTTCAGCAATTGACCTAACCGTGAACAGCACCCATAAATGAGCAATCGCGCAGAACTAAGCGCGGACATTGCATTTTTGCAATCCCAAATCTGGGCTGAAAGGGGGTTCATTAGCCTTGTCACTTGCAACCGATTCTGAATACATGGTTGAAGATATGACAACCCAGGTACAGGAAGGGCTGCGAAAAGGATGACAGACGATCACAGTGGAGCTAGTCAAGAATCATGACCTTTGGCGGTGTCTACTGGGAGAGGTAGGACTGTGCGACGAGAAGGGGCTGTGTATCCAATTCTGGCGTATTGCGTATTCCAAGAGAATTGAACGGAGAGGCGGACAATGCAGGCCAAAGAAGCTGCTGCTGTTGAGAGCATGCCTGACGAATCCACTGACCCAGTGGGCTCCTTCAAAGGCAGACATTCCCCTTCTGTCCAGAAGAGTCTCTGGGATAGAATCCGGTCATATATGTATGGTATGTATGGTGTTCGAATTGTGACTACTACTCCTGTTCGCCTCTGATTCTGTATTTCTCTTTGCCTGATTCAAAGGTGATCTACCCTGAAAGCAGGCTATTACACTGAAGGAAATTAATGGGACATAAATAGTGCGTTGAACATGCTTGCAATCGTGTCATTTTCGCCGAGTAGTCCGTAGATTCTATTGCCGAGCGGCAACAACCTGCAAGTAGCAGATTAGAAACGCACACCGCAACTCACGACATGAGCCATGTCACTTATTTTAAATACAGTGGCCATCTTCATTCTCCCAAAACATACAATGGAAAGCTCACGCGATATTCTTTCTGAAGCCAGTCGTCTTCGTCAGGGGATTTCATGCTCACTGGCCCAAGTAGCTCCCTGCCATGGCTGGTCGCACACCGTGTACAAAATTATCTTTGAAGATTCGATCGAATGGGCTGCTCGAGTTTGCCATGATTCCGATAATTGGCAATACGAAATCCGTGCTTTGAAACATCTTGAATACATCAAGCAGCAACGCCCCGAACTCAGAGCACCAAATGTTTTCTTGCGAGAGGAACATCCTGTCCTATATTCGGAATGGGTCGGGGGTGAGCCGCTAGCAATTTGGAATCACGGAATCCCTGCCATCAAACGTGAAACGCTTCTCGATGGTCTTGCAGAATTCTTAATGTAACTATGGACCATTCCGGTTCCCCTAGATCTTTCTTTGGCGCAAAAATTCCCGTACTCTGTTTGGCTTACGCAAAGTCTCGACCGCGGTCTACGGAGAACGCTCAACGGAACAGCTCGATGGGGCGATCCTGTTGACTATCTGATTATGCGGTCTATGATCCTGGAATATGCTGCTGGCCTTGATAAGTACACCACTATTGGTTTTGCACATGGGGATCTGAATGCGTTAAATGTCATGAGAGATGAAAACTTTCATTTAACAGGGTAAGACTACCTAAGAAGGCTCTGCATGATTTCGCTGAGAGATGGATTCAACTGTAGGGTGGTTGACTGGGATTGGATGTTTACGGCACCATTACCCGCCATTATACATCACCCATGGTTTATCGCCGATGTTCCCGGATGGGACAATGATGGTGTGACAGAAGGGGAAAGGTTCAGCGAGGACCGCTGTTTCCTCGAGACTGCGGTTAGGAAGAACGAGATTTCACACAAACTGCCTCTTACAGTCTCAACGTTGCTGCACGACTCTGGAAGGAGATTCTTTTTCCAAGCAGCATTCCATAACAAAGGCATCCATCACAAGTTTGTCGAGATGCATTGTGAGCGGACAGAGGAGAATATCGCGGCGGCGAGGACACAACTCGATGCTGCGCTTTGTTTATATCCTGAGTTGGGAGGTATGAAGGGGGTGGAGCAATTTCAGGAGCGGCTGAGTATAGTTAGAGAAACCTGAATTATTGACTGGATCTTTTCATCTACTATGGTGAGTAGTATAGATAAATATTCCTTTAGAGCTAAGCAGATAAGCGCGATAAGCCGATGGGGCAAGCACAACGTCATCGAACGGATTCGGCATGCTACTTCCTTTTTCTTCCCCACCACTTTCTCTCCCAATTCTCCAGCATTGACTGATCTCGAAAACAGGCTTCATTGTCTCAATTGACAGCTCTCGTGTCTGCTGCCCCTCGAGAAACCTTATTTGACTGAATCCTTCCCATTTCCGCCTCACCGTCTCTCTGCCTCCACCATGGCCAGTCACAACCGCTTGCGCGGAGCATGCTCATGCGGTCGCAACCAGTATCGCATCGAAATCCCCAATGACGCAATCGAGGATGCGCAGGTATACTTTGACAGTAGTCGGGACAGTCGTAAGTCCACCTGGAAGAGCGTGCTAATGTATCCAGCTTGCTAATCCATCTCAGGCCGATTCCACGGCACGCCCCTGACTGCATGGCTCCGCGTGCCTCTCGACTGGTACCAGTCCTATACGAGATCATTCTTCCCAGACGAGACACACGCCTCGATCCGGCGTACATTCACACCGCACGACGAACCCGCGTCCCAGCGCATCTTCTGCGGATTCTGCGGCACGCCCTTGACACTCTGGACTGAGGAGCCAGCAGAGGAAGGCGATTTTATGTCTGTGGCTATTGGTAGTTTGTTTGGTGAGGATCAGCACGTGCTCGAAGATCTTGATCTTCTGCCGGAGGACCTGGAGGAAGAGGCAGGAAGTGCTGCCGCAGGTTCTCCATCTGCTCTTGCGCCGCCTTCGCAAGCCACTTCTTCTTCCTCTGCGGTTGTGCCATCTTTTGGGCCTCCGCCGGGTCTTACAAGGAGCTACAGACACGGCACACTGGGTGGGATCCCTTGGTTTGAGGAGATGGTGGAGGGGAGCCGGCTAGGTCGGCACATGCGCCAGCAGCGCGGGATGGGAGTTAGTGGCGATCAGTCGACTTCATTTGAGTGGGAGATCAGCGAGTGGCATGATGATGGCACGGGTGCACTTGTGCAGGAGGATTCGAATGGACATGCCACAGGAAAGAGGAAGAGAGGACGGCGTTCAGATGCTAAAGGCGGATCTTCACAGAAGCGAGCCGAGTCGTAAGGCTTGTGTACTACAAAGCGTGGTTTTAATGGGGGAGGGCATCTTCAGTGGCTTGTCTTTGCTTCCGGGAGCCAAGTTCCAAGGTTGATATTGTGCAATACTGAAGATGCGACAACCAATATGGAATTCTTCTGTTTGGATCTTATTCTTTCAGGCCAAAGACTATTTCAAGATGCTTCTTTCGTTTGGAATTAGTTAGCATCAGCATTTGGTCCTGCGTCAGTTTCTTGGTAGCTACCAGCCCCAAGTTCTATGGGAATCCTGCAAATAGAAGGATATCAATATCAAGTTCCTGTGGCTTATTCAGTTTATACTTCCAAATGTAGTCCCTTACCGCCCACGGGTAGATCATGATAGAGTCAAGCATCTGCTCATGGTCAGGGAGACTGCATTTCCCTCGCCAATGGACAACATAGAAGGGTCAGCAGTCCATCTAGCCGGTTTCCCCCGGTCCATAGAGTCCTGTCTGGCTGTACTGTTTGCGTTCTGGTGCTCACCGCCCGAGTATTGCCAGAGATGAGTGAGCCCTAGGCTGGCAACCGCCTTACCCGATTGGGAAGGCCTCTGTTGTCTTGTAGACATTCACCTCTTCACCTTCTTTCTTGCAAACACGGCCTTCTTTCTCTGTCTTCTTCGTTTCCCGCTTCCACCCCGACGTTCACCTTCTTTCTGAACCCGTAAGTTCCACTGTATCTCACACCAGGCTTCCCTCCCGTGAGCTGGATGGCCAGTCTGATATCCTTCGGTTGGGGAAAGAGGGCTGATATGAAAGAAAATGCACAGGAATCACCACATTTCTGCGCAAACTTTCGCACATCAAAGCAAATAGCACGCCGCCTTTGACCCATTTCTTTAAACAAAAAGGTATGTTGCTTCCGTTAATCATCGGACATGGGGTTAATATTTTCACAGGGCCCGCACAACATGGCAACTGCTGAACGTTGTGAGGGCCAGTACCCTCTACCGTCATCCGTCTCGTTCTCCCTGCCCCTGGAGGCGGCATTGAGCCGCAGGGAGCAAGTTATCTTGCCTCCCTCAGTGCCGGCACGCCTCCTGGCGGAGGATGAATGGGGGGAACTAATGAGGAATCGTTATTCCGCTAGGGACCCGCCCGCCCCAGACCCCCCCAAGCTGCGCTGCAAGCGCAGTGGCTTGCTGCCATCGGCTGGCAACAAGTCAACCAACTTCTGGGAGCGTATGCTGCAGAAGCGGCGCCAGATTCGGCGGGTCAACCAGGCCCGCAAGGCGCGAGGATGGCGGCGCTCGCTTGTAAGCTATATCCATGCCTAATATCGATCAGTTATCATTCGTCTATCGCTGGAATGAAGCTCACACGCGGCCTCTAGAATGAGGCATGAGACAAAGAGATTGATGGCTGACCATGCTGTTCTTGTATAGGCTGGCTCCATCAAAGACAAGCTGCGATTTGGCCGCGCCTGGAAGGGGGTGGTAGGTGATCTCTCCTGCACTTAGGGGACCAAGGCTCACGTTTTCCCTAGTGGCAATCTGCTGTGAATGTGGGCTCAGGCAGTGTGTCCGGGTCTTGGTCTTTGTGTACCGTGGCTGGCACCCACGCCGAGCACCCCAGCCGTGATGATGACCTCGTCGCGGCTGCGCATGAACCGAGCCACAGCTCTCCTGGCCTGGCAACGACCCACGACGAAGAAGATTCTGTTGTTTACCTTCCTCCCCCTAATAGTCCTGCTTCTTCTTCTCTGCACTCGCCATCCTCCTCCTCCTTCTCCCATCTCGCCTCTTCAGAGGAATCTAGTCCTGGAGGCCAGTTCTCCTTCTTCCCTTTGGGAATCTCTTCCCTCGCCGCTCACAGCTCAACCAACACTCTGGACAGGGCCAGTTCCCAGAGCTTCCAGAGCTTCACGAGCGAGCAGGTCAGGGAATTAGATACCATCGAGGGTGAGTCTACCGACAGGCAAGGTACGTACCACGACACAACCCTCTCCCGGTCTTGATATGCATCTCGTCGTTCACGGACTGGAAAATTTCCGTGGCAGAGACGAATGCCTCTTGCCCACACTCATTCCACGACAGGAACTGCTCGCTGACGCATGGACAAGACGACTTCGACAACCTCTCTACCTACTTGGAGCTCCCACCGGAGGATCAACACGACGTCGCTCCGCGGCAGACTGAAGCAGGCAAGCATCGACGGCACCCCGACCCCCGTGTATCAAACCTTACGTGATGTAGAATCCGCGTGGTCCATCTATTCCCACTCCTCTCATTCGACCCATCCCCCTTCGGAGCAGACCAAAGAAAAAGGTATGTCTGCACACAAGATTACACCGTCTGTAGTGAGCTTGAGTTAACACACAGAGAAGAAAGTGTTCTCTTCCGCTTCCCGAATCCTCTTGCAACATCTCCATTCACCATGGACCAGACTGAAGAAAAAGGTATCTCTTCCCAGTTTTCCTCTCAAGAGCAGACTCAGACTGATCCTACCCAGAGTCTGTCCAACCCCATAACCCTATGATCGAAGGTCAGGGTATCATTTCGAGTCCCTCTAAGGAGCATGGTAGGTCCCAGCTCCTTTCGTTCGAGCGCACATGAGATAACACAAAGCAGAAGCTACTCCTCATCTTTCATTCTCCCTGCAAGCGCGTTCTTGCCGTGGCGCTGAGCTATCACGTATTCCACGCGTGCCGGGATTGACTCAGATGCTGCGAGCGTCCGGTGAAACGTCCCGCGATTCATCTCCTGATACCACTGCACCTCTTTCTCCTATTCCACGTCGGAGTGCCATTCCCATTCGTGTCCGCCGGGACACTGCCACGGCGCAGGAATATTCTTCTACCGAATCTCCGAGTGTGCAGACCGGAGGTATTAGGCTCCTGAGTGGTTCTTCCAGCCACTCCAGCACCTCCAGCCAGCCGCAGGAAGACGGCGATAATCACAACAACTTGGCAACCATACCTGAGAAAAGCCTGGATAATCTTGCTGGCTCCACTGGCTCCATCCCAGACGATGGCGATCTACGCCCTGCTCCCATCCGCATGGGTCCGACAGTGCGCATCTCCAGCTCGGCTGATCGTTACATCTTGGGCCATGAAACTGATCGCACTCATGCTCGGCCTGAGGCTTATCGATTGGGCAACGTCTATTATCCCCGTGTCATTCAGGCAGACAGCCCGCCCAATGAGACCGAAGACGGTGGTGGTCTAAGCACTGGCCAAGAGTCTGGGTACGATGCCGATGACGAGCCGCACTTGTCCACTGCAGACAGCCAGCATGATATCTCTCGAACCCTCAATGATGTCGAAACTCATCCCCAGCATGACATCTCTCCTGGCCATTCGTACTTTGGCGCCAGAATTGGTATGGGCCAAGCAGCTCGGCATACTCCGCAGCACATCATTGACCGTCGGCCTGTTCTGGGATCCGCCATTGCTGGACCATCGAGTCGAGCATTTCTGGGTTTTTCTTCGCATCCTCCAGACACGCAGGGTTCGCTACCCAGCGACGTATCTCCAGAGCTCCTCTCTTCTCGTCGGCTTTTAATGGAGAATCCTTCTCGTCTCCCAGGAATGGAGCCTCGCAGTCACGGTGGCCAGTCTTCCTCGAGCAATGATCCATTCAATGCACCGCCTATTCGACTGCCAATTCGAGGAACCTTTACCGAGACCCAGGAGGGCCCTGTTTATCCTTGGCACGAAGAACGTCACAGCCAGTCTCCAAAGAGCCCTATTGCTTCGCGTCGACCCCTTGCAAAATTCTCATCATACCATTCGGACGTTGAGGGTCAGAGCCGCAGGGGCCAGACTTCTGAAAGTGAAGACTTCTTCCATGGGCCGCCGAGTTATCGACAGTCTGCTGTGACAACTTCTCGAAGCTCTCCACAAGTTGAGACTCTCAGTCACGACGACAAGGCTTTTCGCCCTAAGGAATTATCTTATGGGCCGTATATTCGGCGGAAGCAGGTTCCTCAAGTTTCTCAAAGTCCTCCGAGCAAGATCCCACGCCGTGATGGCTCACCTCCGTCGGATCGTGGTCCTACAGGCTCCCAACAGCTGCCGCAGACGTCGTCGGGTGCCACACTTACCGACTCCCCTGTCGTCCACCAAGGTGTCAGCCCGACTGGACCTGGAGATGCAGGTCGAGTGGGAACCATTCAGCGCCATTCACGCACCACATCGCGCAACCCCCTCCTCGACTTTGTCGATACCGAGTCAGGATGCAGGCCCATTGCTCTTGGGCCGAGTGCAAGCATCCCCACGCTGCGTAGTAATCTCACATTCGACGACATCGTCACGCGTCACCCCGAGGTCGAGGGAAGAGTCATCCAGACAAATGTCGCCAGAATCACCGAGCGCCGCACCGCGCGTCTGGTCGGTAACCTGCGCCATGTCTTCTCGCGCAACAGGGCCGAACGGCGAGACTCGACATTCGAGATTGTCAACGCTCGCACGACCTCGCGGGGTGGAGGAAGCAGCAGCCGCAAGGAGCCCAGGAATAAGCTCGCACAGACCATCCGCGCCTCTGCCTCGACGGCGGCACTGCCTCGCCTCAGCGCGGGCCTCCAACGTCGTGCGCCCTCACTCCCCCAGCTATCAACCACTGCCCAAGCCTACTCGACTGGCTCCCCCGGTGAGCGGGATTCACACCCCCGCATTCGCGCCGTCCGGTCCGGTTCGTTTATCCCACGAATCGGCCATCGCCACTACAAGGGACCGGCGGCGCGCACCGGGGCGACGCGCATGGTGAGTGAGGGCGGCGACTTGGAGCCACGCCGAGTGCAGGCGTGCCTCCGGGCCATCGAGGAGGGGCTGGTCCAGGAGATGGACCTGGACGGCCGGAGAAGTTTGCTGTCGGTATGTTATATTCTATCTCTTATCTACTTCCCCTCCCCTCTCTCTTTCCATTCTCAGATCTACATACACACAATGAGAGAAACAATGAAAAAGCTAACTCCCTTACAGGCGTGGACGGACCTTCGGTCCCTCTACTCCGACTACGTCAGCCGGGACGCTCGCGTCAGCGAGTCTGCCCAGTTGCTATCCCAGCTTCGAGTGGAGGTGAAGCTGGTGAAGTGCGCCCTGCTCGTGGAGCTCGAGAGGGCGTACGCGCAGCTGGACAGTCGCAACGACGCGGGCGTTGCGGATGGCGTGGCCGGGGACGAATGAGGGGCCGGGTCGCGTCGTGACAAGGCCGGTCTTTTGCCAGCCGGCGGGGGAGTTCCAGGTGGTCGCCCAGATGTTTTCTGGATTACTGGGGTTGTTTTTTTGGTCTGGGGACACCTGGAACCCCCGTGTATGTGTACAGTTTGTTGTTTGGAGGAGGGGGGGGAGGGGGTTGTATGATTAATGACCTGTACGATGTATGACGAATATGATGTCTGGTTTGTCTTTTTGACCCTTCGTAGGAGATATGCCTGATCTGATTGGACGTGTAAACAGCTGGAGTCAAGAGTACTGCCTTCCGTGACATGGTTTACTTCTATACAGCATTGTAGACCGACGGACAGCTATCAAGGCTCGATCAGGTCTGGGAACTGTCATAGTAACAGCCTGGACCTTGCGGAATGCACTGGTTAATGCGAATGACCATTTTTGGAGTCGTGACGTTGGGATCGCGGAGAAGGAAGCCCAAAATTACAATATATGAAGCATTCAACATTATGAACGTGGGACATGAAACGCTAAGTAATAGACAAAAAGATCTATACAACTCGTAGGAAAGACAACCATCCAGAAATCTCTACTCTCAGCAGCGCGGGACATGTCACCGACCTTGCAGTATGTAGCCCTCCACCATGGCCTCCTCATGTTTAGGCGCAGACCTTCCCCGAACCTTCAAGGTCATTCCAACGCCCAAACAAACAATAACAACCGCAATCTCCTCAAGCACAGACATGACCAGCTGCACAGTCATGTTTCCAGTAAGCATACTGAACGTGTCGTCGTCAACGAACCAGACCAGCATGGCGTAAATGATGCGCACAAGTAAAAAAGGCGCCGAGATGGCCACGGCTCCCATGTTGCGCTTCTCGCCTTTTTCAGCTGAGGAGCGTCGCATGTAGAAAATTCCCAGGTATGCCATCAGGATCACCCAGCTGACGAGGTACAAGATCATGCCGACCTTGACCTCAATATTCGGGTGTTTCAAGCCCTCGAGGGACATGTTCGATGTAATACCCACGATGCTGAGAACCATGGCAACGATGGTGACAATGCGGAAGAAGCTGAAGGCGAGCTCGGGGAGGACAGGTCTGGTCGTGGCGTTTTGGATAGATTCGTTCCTATTTCAAGCATTGTTAGAGAACGGAATGATGGAAACAAAGGCAGAAAGGGAAAACTTACACTCGAGATAGCATGCCCGAGCATGCCATCAATAGCGGAGACAATCCGATGGAACTGCATATCGCGGCCGCGGTATAGAGGCCCGTTGAGGGCTTGTTGATGGTCGCCAGCTCGCAGCATGCGCCGACTAAACGGAAAATCGTAAAAATGGCCAGGAAAATGAAGCCTCCAGTTTTACGGAAGCCATGGCGGGAGACTAGGAAGGCGGACACGAAGAAAGACGGCACGTAGGCGATCAATTCCAGGATGGAGATGCCGTCGCGGTAAGTGACTGAACCCATGATGAGTTATTATCTTTGTAGTTTCTTTTTTATTCAAAAGATTCAGCTGGATTCCATTCCATTTATATATGTCAATTGATCGCTGCCTGCTTTCATATCGAACTCTTACCCAAATAGGTATACATGAAGCATACATTTTCGCACTGCTTCCCGTTTTGGGTTTAGCGGCTAAATAGACCAAGCTTTTCAGCCTAACGATCTTACGCTCAGCAGGCAGAATAATAAAATTAGAACGGCACCTATTACCGAATATCTCAAATTAACTAGCTCAAGGCCTAAAAAAGGATTAGTCCACCCCAACCTCCTGAGGTGAGGGCCTCATATGGCGATGGTCATGAGGGTTATTGCTGCTAGAAGTGATACTACTAGGCAGATTGGAATAGTCGCATGTCACTAAGAATTAATGCCATCAACGAATGACTTAAATTCTCCCACAAGTTCGCGTTTGAGGATATTATTGGCGTGTCGGGAACTACTGGAGATGAGAGACTAAATATGATCATCTGTCACTCCAGCTGATTATGCGTACAGCGTCAATGACTTAATGCTTAGATAGTATTATCATCGGAGCCAGACGCTAGTAGCCAGCCATTGAGCGACAAGGCCGCTGACTGAACCGTGCCCGTGTGGCCCTGGAGAGTCTATAATTCTGCACTCTATCTTTCATTAACTTGTGGGAACTAGCATATCCAACTTGGAAGCTCTGACTTGAACTCTCTACGGATTATTGCCGTTCGAGGTGCAAATACTAGCCCTATGCAATAAATCTGAAGTGATGCTTCATTAGTTATCTAGTGATTCTTAAGGATAAACCGCCTTGCATCATACAGGAAATCACACATTATAGAATTGTCGTCGCCCTATATCTATTAGTGTAAATCACAAATAGTTGTCTACTAGATTACTTACTAGTATAAGCGTATAGAGGTGATCAAGCATACACACCACCTCCGATATAAGACCTAGCAAACTCATCGCCTCCACCTGGTGTAGAAAGTGCTTCGGGAGGAATAGTAGCATATCTTCTATCTCGGAAGCCCGACTTCGTTCGAGATGGTGTACCTAGTAGCGATAAGAGTATTGTAATTTTGGTAGTAGATACTAGCAATACAGAGTCCCGCATGCAAACCATCCCAACTTCCTGGACAAATAAGCAGATGGACACCTAAGGCCACAAGGCAAACATGAAGTTATTCGCCGTACCGAGACGTCACAATTGGTTCCTTCTCGCTTCTTACTCCAAGTCTAGGAAGAAGGTCTTCATTGCCCTAGGCTCAACCTGGGCTGTGAATCTGCCATCCTTGAATGTGAACTCATTATCCACTGTTACGTTATGCTCATTATCTGTCAAGTACGCGACCGCATGCGAGACCTTCGAGCCGGAGAGTTGCACATCCAGTGTATATGTATAGTGCGCTGCATTGACAACCGGGATGGCAATGGTACCGTTGGTGTTCATCCAAGCAGTGACATACAGGTCCTCGACGTTAGTCTCAGCATCGATCCGCACAGCGCCAGGGCGCGCAAAGCGGAAGTAACCAGAGAAGGCCCAGAGGCGGGCAGCGACTTGGTAGGAGTCGCCGTTCACATTGACGAGGGCAGCATCGCCTCCAGTCCAGGCACACCACCAGTGGGACCAGCCGGCGACATTGTTGCGGAACGCGTTGTGCATGTAGATGGCCCATTGCAAGCCTTCGAAGTTGTTACCAGAGACGTCCCATGTAGGAGTCCATGTTGAGCCGCCGTCACTCCATTCCGTCTCGATGGTGGGTTGGTTGTGCAGGAGATCTTGAAAAGACTCCTTGATATCGGACTGGTAGTTGTGGTAGGTGTTGACATCGAACAGATTGAGCCCACCTAGGCGACCGAGCTCGTACAGGATATCGCGCTGTTGGCGGGCACCGGTAGAGTCACAGCAGGACACGGCAAGGTGGGGGAACGCCTTCTTTACCATAGGGTAGAGGACCGAGAGGAAGTCGTAGGCTTGGTAACCATCGGACAACATGGCAGAGTAAGTGAAAGGGTTGAAATCAGGCCTGCAAAATCATCAGCTTCTTCAGCACTTTTTCAAAGGAGTGTACTACACATACTCGTTATATGCGCCTAGCATTGACACCTTGACACCACGCTGCTCATAGAGCTTGACATATTCGATTAAGTAGTTCGCATACGCCTCACGCCAGTCTTCGGTGCAATTGGAGCCTCGTACACCGCAAATGTACCCTCCTCCGGCCTCTTGACCGGTAGTCTTAAAGCAGCCGGGGGCAGACCAGGCATCCGCATACAGGAAAAGGTCCGGGTTGTATCTAAGTGCATTTTGAGCTAGAGTCAACTGGCAACTATCGTTGTTGGAGGGAAAGGAGTAGTTGAAGGGACCAGCAGGGGTCGCAGGGCACTTAGGAAGGATGGTGGCTCCAGCGGAGGATCCGATTATGTTACGAAGGATGGAGAGAGCACCAAGATTCTCATCGAAAAGCGTCTTGACCACCATCTGCTGGTCGGCTGTCGAGAGTGAGTTGGTCTGGCAGGCAGCACCGAAAGCGCCAGAGCATCCTCCGCCGATCATCGTCTGGTACCGCTTGGCTGTATTGACAGTGAGGGTCGTATGAAAAGAAAGAGGCTGCGGAGAAACGGGGTGGTTTCCCTGGACCGATATTGCGGTGGCCGCGCCAGCGAACATCAGAGAGTACTTCATCTTGAATCTGTCCTGCAAGTAGGCGAAGGACTGAGGGCTGAATGAATGGCCAAAGATGGAGGCAAGTCACCTCGAGATATTTATACCTCTGTATGGCAAGGTGAGCGCCTCGCAGTCCCCGCTGCTACGGATGAATTGACATAACAGAAAGTTGGTCCGAGCGAAAGGTAAAGCGGCAAACCGGCGTTAGTACGGACGAGTACGTTCTAGATGGGTAGTAGATCAAACTATGCGAGTACCACTTGAAGAAAGCTCAACAATGTTTCCTGTTATTTCGTTTACCCGAGTTTTTTAATTTCCGCACTTCTCAGAGACCCTCCCTAAAGCTTAGTACAGAGCCTTTGTCATATCAGACTACTCAGGCTAGCAACATTTACCCGCTGTACCGCTCCAATGGGGTTTTGTTTACTTGTACCACGTATCTACCTTTGTAATCATGTAATCACGGTCCACTTTGTAGAATGACACTCACAATACTGTATGGAGTACAGTACGCAGTAGTCATACGTAGGGTTTGCAGAACTCGAGAGGTGGGCACGAAAGACGAAAAGCACAAGCCAGATATAAAGCACAGTGCCTGGATACAGAAAACCTGAAAACTCGCCACCAGATTCCAGTTCTTCACGAAATATTTAGTGTATCCAAAATCATATTAAATGGTAAATACTTCTGCTATCTCTTTTTGAAATAGATTTCCAGTTAATGTTATCTTTGCAATTTGATTTTTAAATAGTATTAACTCTATCATCCGACCTTCATCATTTTAGTTACAGTACGTACCCCTTTGGCTAGCGGAAACTACCACAACGCTAACAAGCAGATTTCGTCAATGAAATTAGTATCGAAGTTGGCTATACCCAAAACGGAGTAACACATGATATAAACGAGACGAATCTTGCTAAGATAGGCTAGCGCTGTGGTAGTTTCTGCCATCCAGTGCGGGGTACCCGGTTTCACTAGATTTAGCTATGTCCTGTCGGTTTGGCTGTTATTTATCATGGCCAGATCACAATTATTATTTTTTTTCCCTCACTACATAATCAAACGTCTAGAGGCCAGCATGACGCAAACCCCCGCTCCAACTTATCCAGACCACAGTCATATTTTGGCGAGTCGGTGCAGCAGCTATCGTTCTAATACCGTTTAACCAGGGGCCGGCGAGAAAGCTCCAGGTACAAGGCACAGTATTTGGCGAATGACAAACCAAAGGGGGAAGATTCTCTCAGGGGGTTCTTTTTAGCCTAAATAGATCTTGATCTAAACTAATAAATCCCTTTTTTGGCTGAAATGTCTATTTTACGTCTATCCCATCCACATCTAATATCGCGCGTTTGGGTGAACGCGTCGCGACGCGGCGCTTGTCGCCCATTCGCTCCTATTCCTTACTCCCTCCATTGGCTCGCTCTCCCCTCCAAGGCCTGTTAGTAGATCTCTATCGATCGTAGCTTCCCCGGTCCCTCCCTCCCTCTTGAGTTCTTCTGACCAATAGCCACGAGCCATGGATCTCTTTACCTTCAACGCGACCCACCGGTCTGGGTCTGTCGGGGCTGTCAGACGGGCGGAGCGCCGCGGACGATCCAGGGCCACCTCCGGAACAAGCGAACATCGACACCACCCTACCTCGAAGATCGAAGCACTCCGTGCGGCTGCCCAGGCGGACGCGTGGCAGTCGAACCCATGGGAACCTACCGCTGCCGCCAGAATCGCGCCCAGTGCCTGGAGTCCCATTGTCCTCGGGATATCGCTGCCCGGAGGAGGGCTGCCTGTGTGCGTTGACCGTTACATGAATGAAGCCGGCGATAAAGGCATCTAGGTTCGGGTATGGAAAGGTGGAAGAGTCGAGCATGGCCACGAGGGAGATTGATTCCCGGATTTGATCACACATGGTATCTTTAGAGAAGACGGCGCGGGTGAGCTGAAGGCCATCGTGGTCGAACAGGCGGGAGATGGCTGGCGATGCGCGTAGAAGGTTATATAGGGATGTACAGTCATCAAGACGAGAGACAATGTCGCATAGAAGCTCGAAGGGCAGTGTCTCCATCTTAGTGAATTTAATGATGAGGAGTATTGAAAGAACGATCTAAAACGCTTTAATTAACCCGGAGTCCGTAACGTAAGTCACAACCACCCTAACCACCCTCTACCGCTAGAAATCTTTTAAGTGAAGGTATCTCAATCAAACAAAATAGCTTCCAGCAGAACGTGTCTAATGTTCTCCTCGCATCGAATTGCTACGGGCTAGAGATTGGATTCGAGACTCATGCGTGAGTGATTAAAGATAGAGCTCAGTCTGCAGATTCTAGGCTCTCTACATACGCTGTCCAGGATTTATCGTTGCTGCACAGATCTAGACAACACCCATTATTGAACGGGACCCACCGCGAATTTCGCCACTAAGGTAAGAGGCGGGCCACAGGTCCAATAAGAGTCACATTTTTGAGGCCAGTTTTTGGTTGATAGGAGAAATACGAACGATGCAAAAGGGGAAATATTGCATACGGACGAAACTAGCGGGGTACACTTTATTAGGGGTATACTTACTCAGGGCGCTCAAGGGCGATCAGTGAGTGGGTCAGGCCGCTCAGGTGAGTAGTCAGTGAGTGCTCAGTTCTACTTAGGGAGCGAGCAGTGAGCACTAAAACGGAAAGAGCGAGCCAAGGAATGCCAGGCATTATCCGGTCTATATGGCCTGTACATTGCGGATTTTCTCTGGCAGGTGGGGCTTGGCTATCTGGGCCGCCGTCCCTCCAGCGAGGGAGCTCTCTAGCCCGTTAAAAAGGAAACTAGCCTCTAACAAAAAGCTGTGTCAGCATCGCTGAAGACAGCAGGTGGTGGGCGACGAAGTTCACCGCCTTTCATTGGCGTTTTGGCTGAGGAATACGAGGTTGGCACCCCTTAATACGCGCGTGGAATATATGCGCTCTCACATTCTCCTATACGATCAACTCACTTGACCAGCATCTCCAAAAGGAAAACCCCCTAAGATGGTTGGCGTACCTCGTAGCAATGGCTGCTCCCGCTGTCTGAGCCGCCGAGTCAAAGTGCGTTTGCTCTGATGACCCCTCCATGATACACTACTAATTAATCCAACTTCCAGTGCGATGAGAGACAGCCAGGCTGCGCAAGATGCGAAAAGTATGGTACGCCTTGTCCGGGCTATGACCGCTCATTCAAGTTCATTGCGTGTAACCCATACTGGCAACGGCGCCATCATCCGGACGTAGATTCAGGTTATGCTCAGACCGAGAGATCGACGACAGAGACGCCAAATAAGGGCCAGACAATCTGCCAGATGTTAGTCGAAAGAACATCCTCACCATCATCTCTGGGCTCGCCAGCTGCCAATGTTTTACAAGGTCTCAGTATTCTGATTTATGACCTCTCTTACCCGTTTCCTCCCAGCCCAACCCATATTACCTCCTACTGGTTTTGTTTCCTACCAACCGTCTATGGGAGAAATCAGACATTAGATGCCACCATCAGGTGCTTCACCGCGCACTACTATAGTAGCGTTACACAGAATATACAGATGGCTCGGTACTCTAGGTCTGCCTATGGGGAAGCTCTACATAGACTCCGAAAGTCTTTACAAAGCCCCAAAGAAAGCTTTTCTTCTCATATATTCTGTGCTGTGGTGATGCTATGTTTATATGAAGTAAGTTTTTACCCGATGCGATAGTCTACATGTTCTAAGTAAGCCCTAGCTTTTCACCAATACCCAAGACCCCGGGTCGTGGATGAAACACGCTGGGGGTCTCGGACAATTGGTCAGGATAAGAGGTCCGGCCCACTATAGGAACGAGTTTGATAATGCCCTATTCAAATCGGCTAGGGGATTGATTGTCATGCACTCTATGTTCTCTAGTCAGCCCTGCTTCCTAACTTCATCCGACTGGCACGAGATGATGCAAGAATACTATTCACCCGACATACCTATTTCTTTACACAATAGCCTAGAACGATTCTTCGCCTATTTCACATTCGCCCCAAGTCTCGTGCACGGTCTCTACAGTCTCAAAGACCGCAATATGACCAAGGACAGAGCCATACAAACAATATCCGAACTCGTGCACCAAGCCCTTGATATGCAAACTAAGATAGAGGCGTGGTATAAGGAGCTTTCACAAACTGCACCCCCACCCACCGAAACACCTTCTTCGACCAACGACTCTCTATTCCCGATGGTTCTCACTTTCTCAGATATGACAGCCTCCAGTCTATATACTGGCTATTACACCTACATGGTGATTATCCATCATATCTTACGGGTGTGCGGTCATCCCGGCCCGCACGGTGCTATGATTGTCTACTTTAGTAATCAGATCTGCAAATCGGTCGAGTACAGCAGCGTTGGCTTTATGGGGCCATCTCGTATGGGGTTTCCGCTACGTGTGGCTATTGAAGTCGCGGATCCGGTGATGAAGACTTGGATCTTGGGCCGACTAGAGGAATTTTCGAAGATATATGCTGCTGCACAGCCAAAGAACTATCGAAACTACGGCATTTAGCAGGCGTCAGAACAATTTTACTTCAGGGAGCGAGGGGTGAGCACTAAATCGGAAAGAGCAAGCCGGAAATGCCAAACATTATCCAGGCTATATGCAAAACACTTATTCTGGCACTGTTGGGTTTAGGGTGCACGGACCAACCCTCTCAGCCCCGGGCTCACTCCCCACTCTCGCAGTGGTTACCGTTTTATCATCATTATTATTGCTACGGCCCCATGTTCAGGCATCATGGTCTACTGCGGTAAACCCAGTAAAGGCTGCGGCCAGTGCCGCACGCGCAAGATCCGATGCGACCAGGCCCGCCCGGCCTGTTCGCAATGCACGCGGGCCCGCCGGGAATGCCCCGGGTATCGCGATGAGCTGTCGCTGATGTTCCGCGACGAGAGCAACTCGGTCGTGCGGAAGGCGAAGGCGGAATCTTCTGCTTCTCCGGCTTCTTCTGCAGCGGCCTCTAGGAGACGCCATGCGCCGTCCCGGTCGCCTCGCACTGCTTCCCCAGAACAGAACAGTAATGCATCTCCGAGCACCGCCGACCCCACCCTGCCCCTAGCGGATAGCGAGGAGATCACCGCATTATCGGTGACGGACGCAGGGATTGAATTTGATTTTAACTCCGATCCCCAGCACCAGTTCCTGATGCAGCAGCTACGGCAGTCCCCGCTGATGATCCAGCCCACTCTGGAACCCTCAAAGGAGGAAGCTATCTCCTACTTCCTTCAGTCACATGCCATCCCCGGGACCTTCATGTCAGCTGCTGTGGCCAATTTTCTCATGAAGGATGGTGGATCGGTGAGCCAGAAGGCTATGCAATCCAGTCTTGTGGCAGTTGCCTGCGCCCTGCTCTCGCGAATTCGCAAAGTGAAGTCGTTAAGGCAAGCAGCGCGCCAGGAGTATGGGTCTGCACTTCAGCTGGTCAATACGGCACTCGCCGATGCGGAAGAGGCCAAGACGAACCAGGCGCTTGGCGCGGTTATTCTCCTGTCTGCATATGAAGTAAGCTTAGGTTTAAAAAAAAAAAAGACAAAGTCCAGCGCTAACTTTAGCAGTTGGTCACGTCGAGGACTACACAGGGCATCGAAGGCTGGTCAAATCACATTCGCGGAGCCGCAGCCCTCCTGGAGCTCCGGGGGACGAAACAACTGGAGACCTTCATAGGGATGCGGCTGTTCATGCATTTACGGTATCAGATTGTGCGTGCCTTTTCCCTTCCCCTTCGACGACAAGACTAACCCACTCGCAGATCCTCAGTTGTATCCAGCGCGACGTGCGAGTCCCCGAGTCACTAATGCAGTCTACAAAACTCGTCATTTACCTCCAGCCAAAGGATGCCCTTGGCAATCGACTGATCATGATCATCGGCAATCTGTCGAACCTTCGTGCAGATATCCACGCGAAAGCGATCACCAATCCGAAGGACGTTCTAAGTGCGGCCTGTGCCATCGAAGCTGACCTCATCGCTTGGTTGGCCGCTCTGCCACCTGAGTTTACATATACCAGCCACACCATGACGCCGCTGAACCGCGCCTTCGAGCGCCGCTGTCGCGGGATTCTCCCTTATAACAACGAATACCACGTCTACCCCGAGCTCTGGGTCTGCAATTGCTGGGCCAACTACCGCTGCGCACGCATCCTCGTCAGCGAGATTATCCTATCGCACGTCCATAAGCTGTCTGCCAGCTCACCCAACAATTCCTTATCCGAGGACTTCCGCCTGCACTGCAAGTCCCTGCGCGCGACCACCAGTCGCCTAGGCGCCGACATTTGCCGCAGTGTCCCGTTTCACCTGGGCGCCTGCAACGCAGAGATCCCTGCCGACGCACCCACGATGCCCCCAGAGAGCTACCTGGGCGGTCTCATGCTGCTCTGGCCCCTGTTTCTGGCCGGTATGGTTGAGGGACCGACTCATCCGCAGCGTCAGTGGGTGGTGAAGTGTCTTTCCATGATTGGACACACGATGGGGCTCGACCAGGCCCTAGCGATTATGGATATTCTATCCGCAGACCCGGGCATGTTCCATTCCCCAGAAATATACGGCGATGCGGCTGATCCTCCGACTGGGTCGGCGGGCCTGCTTCCTTTTTCGGTCTTCCATGTGCCACATTATCATCTTATCACACGAGAGGAGTATCGGGAGTACCGAGAGCTTCGCCCTTCGGCGGAGTAAATACTTGGGTTTGCACAGCCTATGTACCTAATCTGTATATCGTCATGGTCTGCATTCTAGCTTTGGGACTGGAGTTGGACAGGACGACAAGTGTCTAGAGTTTTTTTCCGAGTCAAATGATTAATGAGATACGTCATGAAGTAATACCGTTTCTTTGGTTCAAACTTATTACTATTGCTGCGCCTTGTAACCACTTGTGGGGCGGAGTCGTGTTCGTGTTAGGGATCTTTGCCGTACAGCCTTCCGTTTGGGCCGCCAAGGCGAAATACGACTACATACGAGGGGGCACCGAAACACCAATCATTTATAGTTGTCATGCTGATCGAACAAATTAACTTCTTCTCCTTCTTGTTAGCCAGTGTATATCATCTGGTTTAGCGCACAAGGCTGTTTTGATCCGTTGCGCGAGGCGTTTGACCAATGCGTGACTTGCCGCTTTGCGCCAGGCCCTGCGGCACCAACCTGGATCCGCCTCGCCCGAATGGTTACCCCGTATATGTTCTTCATACGCGGCGTGCCGGTGATCTTGTCACTCCGCACCCAGGTAATGGCCATCAGCCTCTTGATCAATAACTCTTTGAAGCAACCCCCTGTCCGCCTTGGTTTCAGCCCTAATACATTCTCGGCATGTTACTCCAAGGGGCTCATTATACGTTTTGATGTCAACGCTAAGGTCTCCTGAAAGAAGGCTGTGGAAAGATATAAAGATCGGGGTGTGTCCCGGGGAGACCAGGATTCTACTAAGGTCTTCCACAGTGCTTCTAGAACGCAGTCAGCCTACTATCAGCAAGACCATACTTTCCAACAGCCCTACCTAGTACATCCATCCATACCATACCAATGCTTGCCAAAGTCATCCCGCCACCCAAGTGGTCCTCCTTCCCAGCCAGCCGACTCATGCATCGCCGTGGCGAGTCCGAGCAAACCCCATCCAGCAGTCCTGTCATGGTAGGCAACCGGCGCTCCAGGGTGCAGAGCCAGAGCCACGCCGGCTCGCCCTCCCCACGCAGCTCCGCCAAACCATCATCATCATCATCAGTTTGGTCGCCGCCGCCCTACACACCGAACGCAAGCAACTCCAGCCAGCCTCTGTCGACTGAATTTCAAGCCGACGGCGACGAGCGCTACGCCTTCCTGAAGGACTTCGACACCATCTTCCTGGTAGACGACAGCTCCAGCATGCGCGGCGAGCGCTGGCAAGAAGCCGAAGCGGCCATCGCCGCCATCGCGCCCATCTGCACGCAGTACGACGGCGATGGCATCGACATCTTCTTCCTCAACCACCGCTGCGAGGTACCGCCGGGCGTGTACGATGCCAACGGGGGTGGCTACACGAACGTCACCACCGCGGCGCAGGTACAACGAATCTTCAGCAGCGTTCAGCCGCGCGGCGCAACCCCAGTGGGCAAGCGCCTGTTGAGCATCCTGGGTCCGTACCTCGCAGAACTCGAGCGGCTCGAACACGCCGCAACCAATGCCTCTCGCCGCGGCGACGTGCGGCTGGCCGCGCAGCTGGGCGCCAAGAAACCGAAGCCGCTTAATATCATTGCTATCACGGACGGCGAGTTTACCGATGATGCAGAGAGCATCATTGTTCAGGTTGCTCGCCGGCTTGATGGGGAGGGCTGCAAGGCGCTGCCGTGGCAGGTTGGGGTGCAATTCTTTCAGATTGGGAACGATGAGCGCGCGACCAAGTACCTGCAGCAGCTGGATGATGATTTAGGGGATTGGTGCCATCGGAAGAAGATGCGAGATATTGTTGACACCGTGCCTTGGCGAGGGGGAAGGGGAGAACGCTGGATGCGGATGGGATGTTGAAGTGTGTGCTTGGGGCGGTGCATAAGAAGTTGGATCGGACGAGGGTGTAGTGCTTCTGTTTCTTCCATATGTACATAGCATCTCTTCTCGATTATTTTCTCGATAGTTTAATTCACTCCATAGACGTCACTGCTCGCCCCTGTTGATCGTACCTTGCGTTTCAGCTCCACTGCGAACCACGGCTCCAGTGGTTCCCGGCATGTTGACGGCAATAATCAAAAAATTACCCCTGAATGGCCTGCTTAGGGAATGTAAGCTATTAATTAATGCGTGGTCATGGTCCTATCATGCGATCCCTAATCTTCCTCCTATCGCCCCCATCGTCAAATCATTCTCCTGATCGCCCGTCCGATCGGCTCAGCAGTCGTCACAGCTCCCCGCGGTGCCGATCGCGGAAAGCACATCTTTTCTTTTCTTTGGTTGCCTACCTTGTTTTCTTTCTTTCCTTCTTTTTCTTCAACATCGTCCCTGTCCTCAATCATTTCCTTGTCCGTTTCACCTGTCGCGCCAACACCGCCGTCTCACCTATTCTTATCTCGTGTTCCTGCCTAGGCGCCGACACTACGCCCCCCCCCGTCACACTCGCCCGCCACGCCCATTGGCCCGGCGTGTCGCCTGCACTGTGCCTGGCATTAGCCCAAAGCGTCGCGCTTCCTGAGGCACCTCCACTGCCGCCGCCAGCCACTGTTGTTGTTTCGGGTCATGGCCCAGAGTCGTGAAACCCGAGCTGAGCATCACAACAATCGGTAAAATTAGAAACGGCCTGGGTTGTTTGTCTGGTCGCCTATATTAACCTTGCATTGGCCTCCTCCATTTCCTTCTCGTTCTCATCAACTGTACTATACCTTCGTTCCTTGTTTTGTTTCCTTTCTTCGCTCTTTCCGTTGCATTGCATTGCATTGATTGCATTTTCTGCGTTTCTCTTGCTGCGCCATCATTCGTTTCGGCCAGCGCTTTCTCTCGTTTTGGTTTCCATGCTCTCAACCACCCTCATGACTTTCCTCCTCACGACCAACCCCAATGTCCGCTCAGTCAAGCTGCTCGGGTCATGGGATAATTTCTCCAAGCCCTATGCCATGGAGCGCGATCGACGCGTCGGTGCCGGTGTTTGGCGCGGCTGCCATACTTTCACCGATATCATGGGCGACGGGCCGCCGAATGATAAATCGCAGTGGCGGACCGGCGGGTTGAAGATGGGCGCTACCTATTGGTACTATGTGGGTGTCTCCGATTGACTTCAATGGCTGGTATACTAATAACTTGGGAATATAGTATCTGCTGGACGACGACGTCGAACACTTCAACGAAGCCGAGCCCGTCACCACCAAATGCCCTCTGCTCCCCGGCCAACCGGTCAACGTCCTGAACGTGCCCATCATCCTGCCCGACAGTCGCTCTCATGGCCGGTCGATGAGCAACAGTTCGGAAAAGCTCGATTATCGAACAATGAACCCGGAGGACAAATATCTGAACCCGCGCAAACCGCCAAAGCCCACTCTGCCCCGGCTCAACACGTCCAAGCCGCAGCGTGCTGCCACAGCCGCGACCAAGTCCTCGCCGCGCAATACGGAAATGGTTCACCGGAGTGCGTCGCAGCCGAGCAGCGCGGTTCGCAGGAAAAATGGGAACAAGGATGCGCGGTCTGTTTCCCCGCCGCGCTCGCGGGGTCTGCGCTCCGCGTTCCGAAATGCCAATGAAGATACATACAAGCGCCCAGATCCCGTCCAGCAGGTCAATGCGCAGAGCCTGGCGCTTCTGCAGAATGGCGCGGCAGACGAGCGTCGCAATGGTGTCGGTCCAGAAACACCCGTTCCGGCCACGATCCAGAGTCGTCGCGCAATGAAAGCTGGCGCCGGGGATGCTGGTCGAGCTGCATTGACTGTGAAAACCAGCGAGCAGCAGCAGCAGCAGCACAGTCAATCCAGCAAGTCCAATGGAGGGTCCAATGGAGGGTCCTCTGGCGGTATGTCAACCCCGACGCGCGTGGACCCCCAGGAAAAGAGATTGCCCACGCTCCCGAACACGCCGTCATCTGTCATGGATGAGGCGGTGCGCGCCATAGACGAGACGGACAAGGCGATGAACGCCGAGGTGCTCCGCAGCCACTTCTCCAGCCTGACGACTGTCGAAGATTCAACGCAGTCGCGCTTCGCGGCGGAAGAAAGCCGCTTCTCCGAATGGAGCACTGATACAGAGGAGCAATCCTCGCCCGAATTCACGAAGTCCGCCTCGACCTTCAACGATGTTCATGCCCACGACAAAGCCCACACCTACGGTGGTCCTGTATCTCCCGCCCTGAAGACAGCCAGCACCTGGAAAACACCAGATCCCTCCCTCCCCACCGACTTCGCATCAAACACCGACCCAAACACACCGCACCTGACCGTGCATTCCAAGCCCTCATCCCCCAACTCCGCACTGGACGACATCCCACCATGGAACTCCTCCCTCCCGCAACTAGCTGTCTCCCTCTCCGAAGCAGCCAACCTCGACGTCGATGTCGTATCCGGGCTGGGCATTGAGAACCTCGACGAGGTGGAAAGCAATCCAAAGCGGCACGCCGCGCTGTTCAACGCCATCGAATCAATGCAGGCTCTTGCACTTGCGCGCAGTCGGAGCGCATCCCCGATGATCTTGTCGGAGGAGCAGCAGCGGCAGTTTGGGGCCGCTGAGCAGACTATTCGCGATAGTCCGCAGCTGGGCGAGATTCGGTCGCTGAGACCCAGTGCTGTCGGGGCGTCGCTGCATCCCGGTGGGCCGGAGCATGGCAAGACCACCATGCAGGAGCTTATGGATGAGTTGAGCTATTTGAAGAATATAATTCAGGCGGAGATGGATGGGGAGCCGTTTTAGATGGTTGGGTAAGGGGGTTGTACTATTTGTTTATGTATCATTTCTGGCGCTGGTCGCTGGGATGTTGTGATTATGTATAGGTATTTTAGAGCGGAGGATATAACTGTGCAATATATCGTATTCATTAACATCTACCACTTTTTGGTTGGGGAGAAGAAGTTCTATGATAATCGCTTCTTGCTGAATGTATATCTCGAGGCAGTCAGTATGGTCTGACCAGGATATATATATATTTCACCTTTTCACCGCTAAACTGTACCAGACGTAATTTCATGGGCGTAAAATTTCAATCAAACACCAAATCACAAAATGAGAACCCATTCCTCTCCAATAGTATAGATGAAGTATTCTGTTCGGTGTGGTTCATCTGCCGCCCACGCGCCAAGCCTCGCGGTATCCACCAGCATCAACACCATCTTCAACCATCAACCATCACAATTCTCCCGGTCATGGCCTGATCCGGCTCACAACCACCCACCACAATGGCCGAACACGGTCCGCAGCTTCCTCCAGTCGGGGAAAAATCCCTACCGGCCAAATGCAAGCCCCGCGCGCTGGCGTACTGTCCGACCATGGACCTGATCGCCCTGGCCACCGAGGACGAGGAGCTGCGCATTTTCCGGCTGAACGGGCAGCGCGTGTTCGGGGGCTCGTTTGGCGGGGACCCGTACCTCGGCGAGGATGAGGAGGATGGGGAGATCAGGGCGTTGGCGTGGAAGGGGAATGGTGAGTTTAATTGATCCCTTTGTATAGTGCCCGCGGGGGAGGGGATTTGGAAATGAACTCTCTGCTGTTCTTTTTGCGAGTTACGCTAACGATGCCTACAGGTCGGTTACTTGCTGTCGCGTGTGGAGATGGGACGGTGCGCGTCATCAGCTCCTATAGCGGGAAGACGGTGCACCACTACCCGACCTATGCGCAGGACGATGCCCCAAGCTCCGGCCCGGCACAGCCTTCTCCCAAGGCAACGTGTCTGGGCTGGGGGTCAATTTCACCGACAGCCACGCGGCCGAGCGGCATCTGCGCGACTCAGCGGGCCAGCTCTCCATCGAGGATCTGCTGAGCTCATCGGTGCACTCGTCGAAAGCGGCCGCGCTGATCAAAGCGGATTTACCACGCGAGCTGGCACTGATGGATATCGAGAGCTCGCTGCCGAAACTGAGTACCCTGCCGGCGACGGGCAGCGAAGATGATCTCTTTAGTTCCCGCGCGTCTATCGATGCCATCTTTCATTCTTCCACCAAGGATACCAGCGACTCGGTGAACGTGCTCTTTGTCGGATATGATGATGGAAGTGTCCATCTGCGCATCTTCGACTGCTTCGAGATTGGCTCGTTCCCCATCGCTGACTCGGCCGGACAGCCGGGTTCATGCAATATTCTTCGTCATGCGTCACATCCCTTAAGCTCGACACATGCCTTGCTGGCGGCGTCCGCATCGTCCCTCAACCTTGTCACTCTGGACCTTCGCTTTATCACGCGATCGGGTCGCTACCTGTCTCTCCTTGCTTCCAAGACAACCCAGCTCCAGAACCTGCTCCGGTATATCGACCAAGTGCAGCGGCAGATCGAGCTTGAGTGGAAGAATACCCAAGAACTTCCCTCGAGGTTTTTGCGGAGTGTCAATGAAGACCTGCAGGAAAAGTGCCATTGTGATTTCATCACGGCGGCTTATCATCTCGTTGTTACGGGACATTGCTTCGAGCCGATGAAGGAGTTCCTGGTGGATATCGTCGGAGAAAGAGTATGGTCTCCTTGCCTAAAGTTTTGACAGAAGTATTTATAAATCTATAGGGACACAAGCGATGGGACAAAGCCGTCGCCGGCGGGTACGAGAACATCCGCCGCCTGACGCACGAATGTCTCTTGCCCGCACTGGAGAGGAGCCAAGTCCTTCTCAGCCGACTGATCGGCCTGTCCAAGTTCCACAAACTCAGCGACGTCCTCGGTCTAGAAACGACCAAGCTCAACGCCATCGTCGAAACACTCGACTGTCTCCACCTAATGGCCCACCAGATCATCACACACTCCAACGAAGAACTGGCCGAATTCCTCGCCTTCTCCAGATGGCTCCAACTCGAGATCCACATCCTAAACAGCGAAGCACTCTCCCAGACGCAGGAAGAGCTACTGGAAAAGCGCGACCTGCTCGACGTGCCCCCAACGGTCCACTATATCACCGGCGCATTGACGAAGAGCCAGTTGCGCAATTTCATCCGCCAGCTTCCCATGATCGGCGTGGCTAAGCCGCCGCCACCTGGTACGGACAAGTGGCTTCCAGATGGCCATGATCATTCGTTTTATGATACGTTCAAATCGCTTCTCCAGCAGCAGCGCCAGAGCCGGGGTGAGGGCGGCGATGATACTGCGGTCGACGCACCTAAGCTAAATGATTTGACGAGGCGGCTGGGGACGCAGTTTGAGATCGTTTTCGGTGAGATTGCCTTGACGCAGCGGAGGGGCATTCTGCATCGCTCGCCTCTTGAGCTGCACTCGGACTGTGATCAGAGTGTTGCAGATCTGACGATCTGTCATGAGGTGAGTTTTTTTTTTTTAACTAATGCGCAATACACACAACTGATTGCTCTGCTAGGATGCCGAAGAAGGACACCCGTGCTCCACATACATTGCTGCTCGATCGAGCACATCGAAACACCTAAGTTGGTCAAATCCCTCCAATGAGCTCGAGTGGTTGCTGATATGATACCCTTGCCACCAGTCTACATATACCGCGTGGTGCTGGACTCCATCAACGGCGTCAGCTCAACAAGACGCACCGCCATCGCCGCTCTCTCCCTGCAACAAGGCGAGATCCGCCAACTGCAATTCGTCGACGACGACACGCTCATGGTCCTGTGGGCTTCCGGCGGTATGTCCATCCACCTATTCCCTTACTTTTACCCCCATTATACCCCAGCCATAGTCCTATCTCAAGTACCCAACTAATAACTAACAATGCCAAAAAAGAAGGACCCTCGTACCTCCTAAACTTCCCCATCCAACCCCTCTCCCTCCAATCCCACGCAGGAGAAGAGTCGGACCCCCAATCGCTAGCAATTTCCTACGTCGATTGCGACAGCACCGCTTCTACCCCCAAACCCTCCGTCAAACCCACCCTCCTCGACCTCTCCTCGCTATCCTCCCCGCACGCGGGAATCATCAAGCATGCCTTTCCCGCATCGGGGCCTAAATCTAGACCTGTTTATCTTGATGTCAATGGACGGAAGGATCGGCGTGCAGTTTGTGTGCTGTATGGGGATGCGATGCGGTATGAGGTTTTGGATTTGGAGTCTGAGTTGGTGCTTGAGGAAGAGGAGGCAGAGGAGGAGGGAGAGGAAGGAGAGGGGAGTAGTGTTGCTATGGAGGATGAGGATGGGATTGATAGATAAAAGCCTTTCTTCTCTTAGTGTTGGAATACAACTACTAGTATTACTCTGTGTTTCCATTTCATTCTATCGACAGTATCAATCACGACTCCACTGTTTGTCGCTGGGGCCACAGGCTGCACCGTGGGCGCTTCTATAAGCAGGAAAATCAAAACAAGCACGCGATGGACGGGCACAGGGCCAACTGGTGGACACGAATCAACCTCTGTATACAAGACCAATACTCCTCTGAGGATCTCGACACGATCTGACCAACGGACTATTACGCATGAGACATTTCCACTGCCAAAACACAGTCATGCCTCAGGCAGTCACTGACATAATCACTGACTCAGCTCTCTCCTCCGCCAATCAGCATCGTGCAACCTCATTCTGCCCATCGTGTGCCCTTAGGACCGTCCGGTTTGTTTCTCCCACACCGCGTCGACCTGGCGTAAACAACTTTTTTCTCTCCGTCGTTTGGCCACCCACGCCCTCGCTCCCTCGACTTTTCTTTCGATCCCTCCTCCTGTCTCTGCTTGCCGGCGTGTCCATCCCAGGCGCACTTGGCTCTTCTGGTGCATGCCTCATATCCACAAAAACACCCGTCCTTCCCACCTCCCACCCCAACTCTCTCCCTTCCTCTCCACACCCACCCTGCCCTCGTGGACTGTGACTTGCGTGCCTGGCCGAGTTTGAAATCTTCATTGAATCCGGGAGAGGCTAGAGGGATCTAATTCTTTTCTCCCCATCTTTTTTTCCTTTCCCCCCCTCCCTTCTTCTCCCTCCCACACCCCACTTCGACGCTGCCCGCGTTCGTCTTTGCACATTATGGATGCCCGCCAGGTGTTGCAGAGTACCTTGTCGCCAGGTAAGTCTTTCTTCTTGCTCCACGAAATGGTGGACAACCCCACGCTAATAATTTGCTGCCTGCAGACGCGGCGGAACGTACCAATGCTGAGCAGCAACTCGCTCACGCGGCGGAGGTCGACTTTGTACGTGATACACCTACTGACCAAAATCTCCCTACTAATACTTCTGGAATATAGGCTGCCTACCTGATCACCCTGGGCCAGGAGCTCGCCAACGATAGTAGCCCCGCCCACATCCGAGTCGCTGCGGGTATCGCCCTGAAGAACGCTTTCACCTTCCGAGACCAAGCCAAGCTGCGCGAGGTGCAGCAGCGATGGGTCCAGCAGATTCCCCCCGAGACCAAGACGCAGGTGAAGGAGCTCGCGCTCAAGACCCTGCATTCGGCCGATACCCGAGCTGGAAATGCCGCCGCGACGCTGATTGTTTCGATCGCCGCGATCGAGCTGCCTCGCAATGAGTGGCAAGATTTGATGGGTATTCTGGTCCAGAACGTGGCCAGCGGCACCGACGCCCTGAAGCAGTCCTCGCTCGCTGCTATCGGTTTCATCTGCGAGTCCCAAGACCCTGATCTCCGCCAGAGCTTGACCGCACACTCCAATGCCATCCTGACTGCTGTCGTACAGGGCGCCCGCCGCGAGGAGCAGAACATGGACGTTCGCTTTGCTGCTATTGCGGCGCTCAGTGATGCCGTGGAGTTTGTCCGCTCCAACATGGAGAACGAGGGAGAGCGCAACTACATTATGCAGGTCGTCTGCGAGGCGACTCAGGCTGAGGAGGTCCGTGTGCAGGCTGGTGCCTTTGGCTGCCTGAACCGTATCATGGGTGTTTACTACGATAAGATGCGCTTCTACATGGAGAAGGCTCTGTTTGGCTTGAGCATTATGGGCATGAAGAGCGAGGAGGAAGATGTTGCCAAGCTGGCCATTGAGTTCTGGTGCACCGTTTGCGAGGAGGAGATTGCTATTGAGGATGATAACGCGGTGGTATGTGTGATCTCTCGAATCTATACCCGACTGATCCCCCAGCTAATTTTATCATATAGGCTCAACAGGAAGGCTCGGAGGTCCGGCCATACTTTGGTTTTGCTCGCATCGCGACTCGCGAGGTTCTTCCCGTTTTGTTGCAAGCCATGTGCCGCCAGGACGAGGATGCCGGTGACGACGAGTACAACGTATCGCGTGCCGCATACCAGGCGCTGCAGCTCTATGCTCAGTGTGTGCAGGGTGATGTCATCCAGCCCGTCGTGGGCTTCGTTGAGGAGAACATCCGCAGCGAGGACTGGCGCCGTCGGGATGCCGCCGTGGCTTCCTTTGGTGCCATCATGGAGGGCCCTGAGCCCAGTACGCTGGAGCCTTTGATCAAACAGGCTCTGTCGGTGCTGCTGGGTATGATGGAGGATAGCTCGGTGCAGGTGCGGGACTCCACTGCGTACGCTCTGGGTCGCGTGTGCGACTGCTGCCCCGAGGTCCTTGACCCGGATGTTCACCTACAGCCGTTGATCTCTTGCCTCTTCAACGGTCTGGCAAGCACCCCCAAGATCGCTAGCTCCTGCTGTTGGGCTCTTATGAATGTAGCCGATCGGTTCGCTGGCGACGCTGGCTCGCAGACCAACCCTCTGTCGAAGCACTTCGAGAACAGCATCAAGTCGCTTCTGGCAGTTACTGAGCGTCAAGATGCCGATAACCAGCTCCGTACCGCCGGGTATGAAGTCCTCAACTCGTTCGTTCTCAACTCGGCCAACGACAGTTTGCCCATGGTGGCCAGTCTCTCGGATGTGATTATCCAGCGCCTGGAGCACACGATTCCCATGCAGCAGCAGGTTGTCAGTACCGAGGACCGTATTCTCTTGGAGGAGATGCAGACCAGCTTGATCAGTGTGGTTCTGGCTATTGTTCAACGTTTGGAGACTGAGATCAAGCCGCAGTCCGACCGCATCATGGGCGTGATGCTTCAGGTTCTCAACACGGTTGGTGCCAAGTCGAGCGTGCCGGATGTTGTCTTCGCCACGGTCGGTGCTGTTGCCAGCGCTCTCGACGAGGAGTTCATCAAATACATGGAATCGTTCTGCCCCTTCCTCTATAACGCACTGGGCAATCAGGACGAGCCTGCTATTTGCGCCATGGCCATCGGTCTGGTCAGTGACATCTCGCGCGCCTTGAACGACAAGGTCCTGCCTTTCTGCGATACCTTCATGAACCTGTTGCTCAACATCCTTCGCACGTCTACCAACCAGCTCAAGCCTGCCATCCTGGAGACTTTCGGTGATATTGCCCAGGCCATTGGAACCAACTTTGACACCTACCTGCCCGTCGTCGGCCAGGTCCTTCAGCAGGCGTCTTCTGTGACTACCAGCTCTGACCTGCCATACGACATGGTGGACTACATTGTTTCCCTCCGCGAAGGTATCATGGATGCCTGGGGTGGCATCCTCCTTTCTTACAAGGGCCACCCTCAAAGTGAGTTTTTCATGCTGTCCCTTTTCTACAAATGCAAGCAGACTAATATTCCTCAGTTACGCAAATCCAACCCTTTGTCGAGTCCATCTTCCAGCTTCTCCACAACATCTCCCAGGAGGGTAACCGAAGCGAAGGCCTGATGCGATCCTCGATGGGCGTGATTGGTGATCTCGCCGATGCTTTCCCCAACGGCGAACTCGCTGCTTACTTCCGCAATGACTGGGTCACCACCTTGGTCCGCGAGACCCGCACGACCCGACACTTCAGCGCGCGGACGATCGAGACCGCTCGCTGGACCCGTGAGCAAGTCAAGCGCCAGATCAACATGAGCACCGGCAACATGAACGCCATGGCATAGATATGATGCTCACTCATCCAGTGGCTCCCGCCGCCTCCCCTCGCCGCTGCACGTAGCGGCGCTCTGGTCGTCGGGACCGAGGAAAGTGACGTTCAAACACACTTCCTGTGCATTGCCGGCCCAACTCGAGTCGACCTGGTCCGAGCTATGCAGACAAGTCAGTCGGCTGCCTGTCGTGGCTGACACCTGAATGTTTGGCTATTTTTGTCACCAATCCCCCTTTCTCCGCTCCCCATTTCCCCCGCACGACTTGAGATTCCCCTTGACCTCGCTTTCACCCCCCTTTGGCCTTCCTCTTATCCCATTTTCGCTGGCACTTGCTTCTCACCCGTGCTACACCCTGATGACAATTCACCCATCCGAACGAAAGCGTTCCGTCGTCCCCTCCCCTTCCATCCCCCAGGCCCCTTTTCTTCTTCTTCTTGATACACTTCTACTTTATTTTCCCTTCCCCTTTCTGAATTTTTCTACCTCGCTTTTGTTTTAATTAGAAAAGACCCCCTCGCATCCTATAGCATTGCCAGTCATGTAGCCCAAGAATTCATGTATCCCCCTTTCCCTCTCCTTGTCTTATGTCTACCCTTTCCCGGAAAAGAGTCGCTGTCATGAAAAAATTGTTTGAGTCCTTTTCTCCCTCTCCACGTATAGTCTTATCATTTCCTTTTGACTTTCTGCTGGACACATGTATAGAGAGGCCCAGGCTGGGGCGACGGCCCCAATGATGTAAGGTTTGCAAAACAGTAAAGGCGGGCCTTATCTCTTCCAATACGTTTAGCTGTTCGTGTAGTTACCTTGGATATTCTATTTTTCTACATCCCTAGGAATGATCACCCGACAGGCTGGTCTTATACTATTGCCTGAGGCACCGTCTGTCATATCATCACGTGATTGTGATAAGGGCTAGCAACCCTAACACACAGAGCGGAAAAACCCGTATTCCTCATCCAACTCCGCTTTTCCTTTTTCAAGCCGCTACTCACTCACTTCAACCACCCACGACCGACAAGTTTCGCTCGAGGTATGTGTTACGCCCTCCCCCTTCAACAGCCTCTCAGCTAGTCTGGGTAAGCAATCATTTGTACTTAGGTGCATCATGATACGCTTCTCCCAACCCGGCACGGGCTGAAGAACTCCTTTGTCAATTGAAGGGGCACTCTTTACGCTCGAAGACTACTGGTGGCTGACTTTTCACTGGCACAATGCGAATGCCCTGCATGGGGTGTTCCTGTTGCCGCACACCCAACAGATACCTCATATCTTTATATCCTTTCCGATCGATTTGAGAATCTCGACACTCCAACCGCCACCATGGTCAAGACTTCCGTCCTCAACGATGCGCTCAACGCCATGAACAACGCCGAGAAGGCTGGCAAGCGCCAGGTCCTCATCCGGCCTTCGTCCAAGGTCATCGTCAAGTTCCTCACCGTCATGCAGAAGCACGGTACGTTTTGCGTCTCTTTTTTTCTTTTCGTTTCGTCAAAAAAGCAAAAACACAAAAGCGCTTCGGAAATGAGAAGGCCCCGCCTCGGGCTGATAACTAGGCGGCCGGTCTCAACATCCCACGACGTCTGCCTTTTAAGTGCCCGAAAGATTAAAACTGGCGGAGATCTTACACGTTTCCGAAGCGCTTTTCTGTATTTGGCGACTTTTAAATCTTTGCAACATAACTGACATGATGTCCCACACAGGCTACATCGGCGAGTTCGAGGAGGTCGATGACCACCGCTCCGGCAAGATCGTCATCCAGCTGAACGGCCGCCTGAACAAGTGCGGTGTCATCAACCCCCGCTACCCCGTCCAGCTGAAGGACATCGAGAAGTGGGCTGTCCAGCTCCTGCCCTCGCGTCAGTTCGGCTACGTCGTCCTGACCACCTCGGCCGGTATCATGGACCACGAGGAGGCTCGCCGCAAGCACGTTGCTGGCAAGCTCCTTGGCTTCTTCTACTAGATGGAGTTGAGTTGCGATAAAAAACCCAATTGAAAAGTTATTTTTTCATTCGCTTTGCATGCCGTTTTTATGTGGTTGAATCGGGCTGGACTGGTGCTGGGAATGTAGCCTGTGGAGTATTATACCCCCCTTTGTTTACAAGAGCACATGGGTCGCTCGTGTTGAATCTACTGCGAGGTGATTCTTGACTTTTTTCTTTCTTTTCTTGGTAATGAACGTAGAAGTAAAGTGCCTTGCAAAATTGCCTTTCGCAATGATGCTCACGGATTGTTTCCCAACCCTAATGCCTAGACCGAACTAAGCTCAAATAGTTACGCTCTAACGAGAGCTCTGCCCTCAGCACGTCAATACTCTATGCCTTCGAATCATACACTTTCTTTCCCCGGTACCATGTTTCGCACACTTTTCCTTCCAGCAGCTTCTCCGGTGTCAATTCCATATCAACTACCAAGAAGTCTGCATTCATCCCTTCCTTCAAGCTTCCAGCCCATGACTCCGCAAACCGCGCATACGCCGCGCCCGCCGTTGCTGCCGTGACAGCTTCAACCAGGCTAAGCGCAAAATGAGGATTGACAGTCTGGGTTGTTTCAGGTTCAGTTGCTGAGCGTCTCGTGGTGGCGTTATACAGATTTGGAAAAGGGAAGTGAGGTGCAGTAGGCGTATCTGTCCCGAGAGCAACATTAGCGCCGCCGTCTAAAAACTCTTTGTAGGCGAAAGCGCGCTTGCAGTGCTCAGGCCCTATTAGATTGGGCCATGCTTTAAAGAGAGCTGGGTCGGAATGGACTGGCTGGATCGATGCAGTAATTCCTAGTTCACCGAGTCTTCTGGCATCTTCGGAGGATGCTAGTTCTAGGTGCTCAATCCTGTGCCTTCGACCCGGGGTGCCGGCTTCTGACAGGATATTGACAGCTTGGCTGATAGCCTGGTCACCGATAGCGTGGATTGCACACTGTAGCCCAGCCGAATCTGCCCTTTTGACAACGGCCCGTAACATGTCTGCGGGCCAGATTGGTTCAACGGGGTCGGATTTTCCCGTGTACGGCTGGCGCATGGCGGCAGTGCACCCATCGACGACACCGTCGCTGATGATTTTAATACCGGTAACATAGAAATCTGATGGAATGGTTCTTTGCTGAAGTTCGATCGCCCGGTCTACATAGCGGAAATGATCTTGTTCATCACCAGAAAACGGCACCAACCAGTGAGCAGCGATATGGAAAGGGATGGGTTTATTTCGGCGATATAAGTTGAGAATTTCCCATGTACCTTCATCCATGGCCATGTCGACAACGCCTGTATACCCGCTGGCAGTATATGCAGCGACGGCTTTGTCTAAGGCGTTCAGATTATCCTCGGTAGATGTAATGCTTGCAAGATATGGCCATGCTAGGTTCTCCAATGCCGATTCTTCGATTAAGCCCGACGCTCTTCCATTCGCGTCACGATAAATCTTTCCACCTGGAAGGTCGGGTGCCGTATGGGCCCCCATTTCATCGAGAGCTGCGGAATTGCACCACATGGAGTGCATATCGAAGGCATCTATATAGATCGGGCGCGGACCCATATCATCTAACATGCTGGCCAAAGCGATACCGTTAGTGGATGATTGGATCCAGCCGCGGCATAGGATGCGCGGGACAGACGGGTGGGAGTCGGCGTGCGCTTTGATAGTCTTCCGGATCTGGTCCAGGGACTTGCAGGCGATAAGATCGACTCGGCCCAAAGATTGGCCAAATTGCAGGAGATGCACATGGCCGTCGATGAAACCCGGGATGACAATTCGGCCCTCTAAATCAAATACTCTGGCTTCATTGGGCGAGTTTATCTCACTAAGGGGGCCGAAGTGAGTGATTTTGCTCCCCTCAATGGCCATGGATTCGGCAAACTCGTTGACAGAGGCGCCGCAGGGCTGCGAGGGAAAAACACGGCAATTCTTGAAGATTGTTGTCATGATGCAGAGGGCATAAAATGGAAGTTGACAACGAATGTCGGATCTGAAGTTGAGCTCTTGACAATCTATTTATCTCGTCTTAAGGTGAGAGAAGCCATCGGGGGGAAATTCCACGCATCCGGCCGACTATCTCGCGGAATTTCCTCTTTTAGGAGTGACAGGTATATGGAGAGCGTCGAATATATTTATATTATTCAACCTCCTGGAACATGACAAATGTGATCCCTACTTTTTGGGAGACTTTCTTCCCTCAGTGGACGAGCTTACTGCATAGATCCGGGGAAAGACCAAAATAACACTTCATCACTGGCTGTTGCTTCATCCTTCCCCTTTGGGAAACGCTTCCGGCCTGTGGATGGCGTGGAATATATTATATTATTCAACCTCCTCGAATATGGCAGATTTGATCCATGCCTTTTGGGGTTTTTCTTCCCGAGTGGACGAGGTCACAGCGTAGATCTGGGGAAAGACTAGAATAACACTCCATAATTGGCTGTTGGTTCAAACTTCCCTTTTGGGACGAATCCTTCCAGTGGGTCTTTGAAGGCTCACAAGGAGAAAACTTTACAGCCGATGAGCAGATGAGGCCAATGTATATGATGATGTAAACCAACATTTTCCCAAGTTCACCTGGGCGTACGGCTGAGGAGCAAAAGCTATAAGAGTTCGGGAACTTGCAAGCTACTCTTCCGTGGCCATCTTCATGCTTTGCGTTAGTCAATGCCACTATGCCGACTGATGCCAATAACCAAGATGTGGACTCTGCCCGGCCTCCCGGAACAGTCCGGCTTGAAGGTGAGTGGCATGATGCGCTACCAGCAAACATGCAGACATGGTCTCATCGTTGTGTACTACGGCAGAACTGTCACGACCCAGCGAAGCGGCCGAAGTTATCCTGCAGCCAAAGCCTTCCAGTGACCCCAATGACCCTCTGGTAAGATTACTATTTAAAGCCCTTCAAGCACCAAATGCTAAACGCATGAAACCTGCTAGAACTGGCCGCTATGGCGCAAAAATCTGAACTTCGGGCTCGCCTGCTATTATGCTATGATGGTTCTTGCACTGTGAGTCCCCTGGTCGGGAGAGATGTACACGCAATCTAATCTAGCAGGATCGACGTGGCTACAGTAACTTGGGGACCAGTGAACCAGGAGCTAGGCTTTAGCTATGCGATATTAAACGATAGTTACGCTGCCGGCTGCGCGGCCCTTTCTATTGGAGCTATTATACTCGTGCCTTTCTCACTCAAATACGGACGACGACCGGTCTATATCCTCAGCAGCGCCGCTCAATGCGGGCTTTGTGTCTGGCTTGCTAGGATGCAAAATGTTGCAGACCTCATGCTAAGCAATATTCTCACTTGCATTATTGGAGCCCTTTCGGAAGTATTAGTGCAGATGACGGTAGCAGATGTCTATTTTATACATCACCGAGGAACCGCGAACACTATTTACTACTGGTGTATAAATCTGGGAGCGACGTTCTCGCCATTAGCCGGCGGTTACATTATACCCTCTCAAGGCTGGCGTTGGGTCTGGTGGTGGATGGTCATCCTCCTCTTCGCCGGACTGGTCGTTTTCATATTCTGTTATGAAGAAACGATGTTTTCACGTCCGATTCATGGGGTAGCAGGACCTGACAAAATTCATCCTGAGCAACTATTCCATAAAAAGGGTCCCGAGATGCCGCTGTCAGGTGCAGACGAGACGCAGGCGGTACATGTGGAATTAACAGTCGTCCGCATCGATACGTCGATTCCGAAAAAGACATACTGGCAGAAGCTAGCACTTTGGTCCACCTCACCAATGTCGCTTAGTCAAATGGCGAGGCAAACCTACCAGCCGCTTGTGATCCTATTCAGCTTCCCAGCGGTTGCCTTTATGGCACTCGAGTACGGAATGCTGAATGCCTGTACCACGATCACAGTAACGACATACTCGTCGGTCATGACGTTGCCTCCGTATAATTTTAATCCGCAGCAGATTGGCTTAATGGGTATACCCCTATTCGTCGGCACCACACTAGGAGCTCTAGTTTGTGGACCGCTAAGCGACTCGCTTGTCCTCTACCTTGCTAAAAGACGGCAAGGCATCTACGAGCCCGAGATGCGACTTTGGCTCGCTCTCGTCTGCACCCCTCTCGTGCCCGCTGGCTTATTTATGTTTGGAATCGGCCTGAATCACCAGTCACACTGGTTGCTTCCCGCATTCGGTCTGGGTATTAGTTCATTCGGTATTGTCCCAGGAAGCAGTTCAGCGTTAACATATCTCACCGACGCCTACATGGACGTACGCATACCCCACCATTCACCTCAACGAATAGCATCAACTGACCCATACTAGATAGTCCCCGACTTCATGGTAGGTATCACGTTCGTCAGTAATCTGATCTCCACGCTTTTCGTTTTCATTCAAAACCCATGGAGCCAAGCAACCGGCTTAGGTTGATTCTACGTAGGCTTCGGCTTGATTGTTACCGCCATCTTGTTGGGCAACTTGATCTTCATATATTTTGGGAAGAGATTCCGCGTCATGTTCGCTGGGAAATACCGATCATATTCTGATCGGAAGGAGCTTGTGCCTTCTGTGATGTAAATAGCTCTCCACTGCTAACCATGTCGTGAATAAGCTCGTGCTTGCAATTCTGTGGTGTGACTTGACTGCTTCAGCGATTGATTGCCAACTGATCTCCTGTCGCACCAAGGGACGTTGATTCTCAGAGTGGGGCAATCAGGTGCCAATTGAACCATAGAATGGGACGAGGGTCCAACAGTCAGGAGGACTAGAAACAGCAGGATCCGGGATCGAGCCATTTAACATTAGATAGGATAACAAATAGCAAAGGCAGAATACTTAGAAATGTTGAAACGAGAATATAGGCCTAACCCTGAACCGATCAGAAGTTGACAAAAGATTGTAAATACATATAGTTCCAAGGGCAGGGCCTTCTTTTACTTCCGCTAAGATAAGATTTCACGCTCGTAAGTATGATGAATTACCTACTGTGCAATGTTGATAAGATTATAGACTAATATACCTGTCTCGTTTCCAAGGATCCCGTTACCTCAGAGAGATGCGAAACATTCAGAGTAACCGTTCAAGTGCATTCCTTCTTCACAAAATAGTTTCATCCAGAATGGCAATGCATATCAGATCCAGTGGAAGAGCCAGTGCCACGACAGGAATTTGCCCTAAGGAGAGGTACGGAGATTGTGCTTATCAGGGGTCTTTTTGGAGCCTAAACTGCGATTGGCCGGGTCTTGGCATCAGGTTGGAAAACAATCCGTGAGTATCATGGAACAAGACAGTTTTGCAAGGCATTGTAGTAGATAACCGCCATCTGTAACTCGCAGCAGTCCGGGCTCCCATACTTGTACAACCGGACCGAGGCCCATATTCACCGCCCTGTATTCTGCCACCATCCCCGCAAAACGGACTGATGCCCGGAGTACTCCTACTTCTCGCACCTCCATCCACCATGCCTCTAGACACGATATACCTCACTCGCCATGGTGTAAGTCTATACCTGCCTACATACACACCTACCTATCCCTGAATAGCAGAACTAACACCTAACCGTCAGCACCGCCTCAACTGGACAATCGACTTCCGCACCGGCGAATACAAATCCCAATTTCCCACGCCGACAGGGAACCCAGCCGACCCGGCACTAACCTCCCATGGCGTGAGACAGTCGCATGAGCTGGCTGCACATATTACCGCACCGGAGTTCCATCCCAAGCCGTTTAGGGTATATTCGAGTCCGTTTTATCGGTGTTTGGCGACGATTCAACCGTCTGTTGAGGGTTTGATGCGAATTGCTGCTGAGCAGGGGCATAATGGATCTAAAAGGAATGGGAAATGGGGGATAGAGGAGGGTGCTGTGTTGGATGTGAGGCTTGAGAATGGACTTGGGTTAGTATTTCCCAAATACCCACCCACATACACTAGCTCCCGGCTTTCCTTTCTTCCCCCGGCCGTTTCATATGCCAGTTATTACTATATATACTAACAAGACGATAAAGCGAATGGTTCGGCCCAACAACATTCTTCACGCACCCCTCCCATCCAACTCCTTCAGAGATGCACCTGCACTTCCCAAGCCTGGTCCAACCCCCAGAAAAAGAAACCTACACACCGCTCCTCCACCCCTCCACGCGCGGCGAAACAATAATCCAACTACATAACCGCCTTGCCACAGCACTGGAGGGAATAATCGCCGACGTGGACGCCGAAATCACTGCGGTAGAAGCGGATCTCCCACCGGAGAAACGTACCAGCAAGTCGCTTTTGATCTGCTCGCATGCAGCGCCGCTTATTGCTATGGGACGGGCTCTGACGGGATGCATGCCGGAGGATAGTTCTGTGGAGGATTTTGCGGTTTTTACGGCGGGGTTAAGTACTTTTCGCCGGAGGGGTGTGGGTATAGATATTGATAGTGGGCATGGTCAACGAGGTAAAGAGGACGAGGGGGATCTTGCTGGGGGGACGAAGATCCTGCGTGGATCAACTCGTGTACCGGACTGGATGAATGGGCGCGGTGTTGGTGGTGGGTGGGACTGTGTCTCGAATGGGGACTGTAGTTTTTTGAGCGGTGGTGCTGAGCGTGGATGGTGAGTTCTCTCTTCTCTTCCTTCTCTTTCTTCTGCGTAAGTGCCCATACTAATGGATTGATATGACAGGCATTTCAACGGCGAGGAAGGCTTCGATACAGGACCTATGGCTCCGCCATCTGATACATCTTCCGTCTTGTCGTCTACCCTTGAGAGCAGTAGATCTGGGGCCAAGCTATAGTCTATGCATACATCATACAGTGTCGGTATACTACATACTACATAGAAAGAAAGTGGAAATAAGAATAAAGCTGAATAATTTTGATACTCCACATACCTGCCAATAGAAAAGGGAAAAACAACTCTGGTTTGAAAAGCAAAGAAAAACAAAAAAACAGTTCTCCCCCGGAAATTCAACCAAATCATCGAAAAACACACAAGATTTAATTGAATCGAAACACACTTCAAGAAAAAATGGTAATCTGGCAGAAATTCGTACATGGTCTCATACATAATAGGGAAATGGAGAATGAAGCGCTCAGGTAGATGGATGGAAGGCGATGCAAATGCAAGGCGATGGTGGCGCTGCCGAGAGATAACAAAAGAACAGCATGTGTAATCGCTTTCTTGAATGTGCGCTAGATTGCGGTGAAAAATGGTTGTTGTGAAATGGAAAAGACAAAAGCAGGGGGGTATCACTTGAACAGATGCTGGTGGTGTACTCCTAGATAGAAGTCTATGCAAACAAGAAAGGGTGTCGTTGTAGATTCAGCGGTCTTTTCAACATAACCGCGTGTGGGCAGTGGTGATTGTGATTTAGGCGGCGTTGCCAGCGCCAGCCGTCTCCTGGACGGGCTGGGCGTTGTTGGCATTGGCATTCTCATTGTGGTCAGCCTCGGGGGCAGTCTGCTCACGCTGCTGCTCTTCCTCCTGACGGGCACGCTCGGCGTTCTGAGCGGCCTCTGCAGCATTGCGGGCCTCAACCTGACGCTCTCCGATACCAGGAACTAGGCTGGCCAAAAAAAGAAGAACCGAGCGTTCCGCGCGGCGGATGTGGTGCTGAATGCCACCAGCCACGGTGTTATCCTGTTCATGGTTAATTGTAGCAGGCTGGGTGGCTCCCGCCTGGGCCTGGTTCTGAGCATTCTGCTCGCCAGGTTCACCAAGGTGCACGAGTCCCTCGAGGTGGCGCTGGATAGGCGCAAGCACCATTCCATGCAGCTGCTGAGGGATCTCCGTGTCAGATATAAGAGCAAACAGAAGTGCACAGCCGACAAAGATGATACGAGTCCAGGTCCCCGGGTCGCTGATCATGTAGCAGAAGAAGTACAGTCGCATGAAGAGCCAAATGCGGCGCAGATGCCGGGCAAAGCCACGACGTTGCTCGGCGGGGTTGGGACGGCGCTGCTGGTCGAGAACTGCATGGCGGACGGCGTTTCCGACAATTCCCTCTTGGGGTCCAGGGGCCAGAGCAGGGCCCGTCTGGGTAGAAGTGTGCGGCGCAAAAAGTGGTGCCTGGACTGTACCTGTGGTAACCGGGGGCGTGAGAATCCCCTGAAATCCATTCGGTGATCTCACCAGGTAGGTCCGGCGGATCGGGATGGCAGATGGATTGTCAAATGGCCAGGAGGGGAACCGGGTCTGGACGACATGGAGTTGGTCGACGCGCTGGTAGAGGTTGCAGATGCGAGTGATCAACGACTCGACCTCGCCATCCCGAGCAGCAAAGTAGTTGCGATACCGTGCGTCCTGGATCTGGAACAGCTCGTTCCGCATCTGAATGATGCGATCCATCGGAGGCAAGCTACCCACAGCAAGCTGGCGTTCAGTGTTCTCGATATCAACACGTAGCTCTCTAATGCGGCGCACGCGGGCAAGTTCCTCCTCCACAGAAAGGGGCGCTTCTGAATGGGAAGACCGAGGGGAGGTTGAATTGGCTTGACCAGGCCAGGATGCGTTTGTAGAAGACATCTGGGAGGCAGTCACAACCGTCGCTGAAGACTCAGTGTTTGTGTTTGCTGGCGGTGGCGCTTGTTCAGAAGAATAGGGAGGCGGAGGGTAGTCATTGTGGCGTCTCGGAATGGCTACTTGATAGTGACGGTACAATGGGTCCTCCTGCCGTCCGGGGTACACGGCACGAGCAGCGTATACTCCATGGCCAGGACGAGGAGGCCAGACTAGCTGACCTTGATTTTCATGCCCAACATTCTGCTGCATGGGACCGACGATCTCACGATTCTCGTGGTCTAGCTCCGTAGGCATCTCTGGCCCTGAAGCGACGGGCCGGGACGGTTCTCGCTGTGGGTACGGACTTGTCTGTCGCATTGGGGCCGGATCAGGCCCACGCAGGTCGTACATCCCATCTCCAATTGGATTGGCAGTGTGTTGTGGATGCCTCAGGCGAGGAATGTTGGAAGAGCCATGATTCATAGACGTCGAGAAGGCCGTTGTAGTAGGTGCGGGAGGTCCGGGTGGCAGCACAAGGTGGATGGAGTATTGGTTACCCTACAAAGAAGTTAGTGGCCAGAACACAAGAACAAAACACTAAAAACCTTACATCAATCGGAGCCAGAACAGCTTCCAATGTCACATCATCCTGTTCAAGGCGCTTGCCGCCATAGATGAGGCGCTGCGTCGACGGCGCGGGGTGGGTTGCGATAGCAGCGGCCAGTCTATCCTTCAGCTGCGCAATTGTAGTTGAGAGCGCAAGATTCAACATAGTGATGCGATTGTGAGGGGCGAGTGAAGGGCAGAGAATATGAAGTGTGATTGTGGTAGGGCTCGTATTCGCCTTAGGCGACGCGGCCGGTGGAGAGGTGGACGCCATCTCCACGGATTGTAGGGCCTGGCTGTTTCCTACGGCGATGATCAGAGGATCAATCCTCGTGAGGACAAAATTGTAGATGGCTGTGTGTGGGAATGGGAGCGTCGGGGCCAACGGTCACTGCCACCGGCTTCCCCAGCCTTGTTGAGCACAGAAGCTGCCCCGAATGCGGCCGCTATCTTGATATCTGGCTTCAAGGCTGGCGATAAGACGGATGGCAATGTGTCAGCGGAAGGTAGAACGATCACAGCGGGACACCAAAAGACACGGAGAAAGCAGCGGGAAACAGGGTTTGACACTGAGTCTGAAAGGACAAGACGGATGTGCGGTAGTGTGCAGAAGAAGACAAGAAAGCAACTTGATGAGGCGTGAGCAGACAAGCTGGGCACGAGAAGATCTGCCGGGCGGTGAAGCTCTAGGCGGTGAGTCGGCTAGGATCCAAAACAAAAAGACATTTCCCCTTTGGGATGGCGATAAAACGTCTTCTGACCTCTGCCGGTGTATGCTTCTTGGCTGATGCCCATGGACTGAAGCTCTGGCAGCATTATGGCCAAGCGCCTCACATCATCTCTCTGTTTGTGTCATTTTGCCCCTATTCGCCGGGGTGTCGCGCCGATGGAGGTTTTTTCATTCAGGGCAACGGCCCGGCACAAAGCCAGCGTTCGCCATTTCTCGTCATCCAAATCGTGGAGACAGTACCACAAAGACAATAATCATGACAACAATAATGGAAAAGGAGGGTTTGGGTCTCGCCTCCGGTTTGCCCTGCGGAATACCAAGGTGGAGTGGTACCCAATTCCGGTCGGACTCGGTATTGGCTTCATAGGGCTGCTGCAGTTCTACAAGGCTCATCGAGCGGAAAAGGAGCGACAGGCTCGGGATGCTGGTGAGGAGGACTGGGAAAATGGCCGGCGGCCACCTCGCCGCCCTCGAATTGTGCCCACGGGGTCCTGGCAGGTTCAGATCATGTCCACATTACCCCTGAAGGCCATGTCGCGGCTCTGGGGTCGGTTCAACGAGATTGAGCTCCCGTACTATTTCCGGGTGCCGGGCTTCAAGCTGTACTCGTGGGCCTTTGGGGTTAACCTCGACGAGGTCGCGGAGCCTGATCTGCACACCTACCCGAACCTGGCGGCATTTTTCTATCGCAAATTGAAGCCAGGCGTTCGGCCCTTGGACCCAGATCCACATGCGCTGTTGTCGCCGTCGGATGGCCGGGTCCTGCAGTTTGGCATGATCGAGCGCGGCGAGGTCGAGCAGGTCAAAGGAATGACCTACAGCCTAGATGCGCTATTAGGGTCGGCCACGCCTTCGCACGTCGACCACACCAAACGACTCACGGATCAGATCACGGAGCCGACCTCAAAGGATGCGGAAACCATGGCCGCGGATGAGGAATTTGCCCGCGTCAACGGCATCTCTTACACCCTCCCTACTCTAATTTCTGGTGGCCCGGGACAACCAGCGACGCGACGGGCCTCAGTGGATGCCTCTACAACGTCCAAGCCTGCCACCGAGCTCGAGGTTCAAGAAGAGCTGGCTCTCGGGGATGGGACTCCGTGGTATGCTCCCCAAAAAGCTCACAACCACGGACTGTTCTACGTGGTGATTTACCTGGCGCCCGGAGACTACCACCGTTTCCACTCGCCCGCCGCCTGGGTGGTCGAGAGCCGGCGGCACTTTGCCGGTGAACTGTACTCCGTGTCGCCATACCTGCAGCGCCACCTCCCCGGCTTGTTCACCCTTAATGAGCGCGTCGCCCTTCTGGGCCGTTGGCGCTGGGGCTTCTTCAGTTACACACCCGTCGGCGCCACGAATGTCGGGTCCATCAAGATCAATTTCGATTCGGAACTGCGCACCAACAGCTTGCTGACTGACAGTGCTGCAGACCTGGCAGCGGCCAGAGCCGCTAAGCGGGGCGAGCAATACCCCGGGTTCGTCGAGGCGACCTATCGACACGCCAGCCAGGCCCTCGGTGGACACCCCCTGCAGCGTGGAGAGGAGATGGGCGGGTTCCAACTGGGTAGCACGATCGTGATGGTATTTGAGGCTCCATTGGGCACACGCAAATCGATTGATGCCGGCTGGCCGGAGGAGCATCGACGCGGCGGCTGGAGGTGGAGCATTGAGAAAGGGCAGCGCATCAAGGTGGGCGAGAAGCTCGGGTATGTGGAGGAAGAGTAAAACCAAAGGAGCTAGTAGTTGCACGGGCTGTCGTGTAGCCGATAAAAGACGATGTGTATTATACCAGTGTTTGCTTGCCACCCGAGTCATACTACATAAGTTACTCGCCTCGATCATGATTCTATACTCGTTCGTGCACAGACCAGACCATTCCTGATTTGCGCGGATAACGATGGGTTGCGTCACCGGGAATAACAAGGACGGATTATAGCATGGTAGTTCAATTATTCTTTATTCCAAGACTTGGTTAAAATACCAAGGTCCATTCTGTCGTGCATTCAAGCAGGCCATTTCATTACCTTTGGACGATTCTCGTTGTTGGCCCGACCGTTGCTCCAACTAGTCATCTAGGCAGACGAACCTTGTTATCAAGGAGCGGACAATCTCTCTTTCTTTCTCTCCCAGGGAAAGGCCCCTCCATCATCTTCATCCTCATCGCCATCTCGCGCTCTCTCTGTCCATGGCCATTTTTAACGCGCCCCGTTCCTTTCAGAATGTCGGCGCCCTCTCCTCTGCCCTGACCACAACGGGCGTCTCCGACCGTGCCAGTCATCCCTCCTTCTTCCATCTAGTCCTCCTGGTCTTTGAGGCCGTCCTCGAAGTCGTCTGTGTCAGTCTGCCGGGCTATATCGCTGCTCGTCAGGGCATGTTAGATGCAGATGCCCAGAAACTGCTGGCCAATCTCAACGTGACCCTCTTCACTCCCTGTCTTAGTATGAATCCCACGCTCGAATCATCGCAGCGCCCGACCATTGACTGACGGACGAATGTAGTCTTCACCAAGCTCGGCTCGCAGCTGACAGCAGAAAAGCTGACCGACCTGGCTATCATCCCTGTGATCTTTGTCGTCCAGACCTTCGTCTCATATGCCTGTTCCTTCCTTGTCTCACGATGCTTTCGATTCAAGAAGCGCAAGTCCAACTTCGTCGCTGCTATGGCGGTTAGTGTTATCATGTGATGATCACCATCAGAATTATCGTGGCTGACATTTTTCTCCATCAGGTGTTTGGCAACTCCAACTCCCTCCCCATTTCCCTCGTGGTCTCGCTCTCGCAGACCCTCAAAGGCCTCCACTGGGACCGCATCCCGAACGACAACGACGATGAGGTAGCCGCGCGGGGGATTCTATATCTGCTTATCTTCCAACAGCTGGGCCAACTGGTCCGCTGGAGCTGGGGATACCATGTTCTGTTGGCGCCCAAGGAACGATTTCTCGAAGAAGCTGAGCGCGCGGATAGCGCGCACACGCGCATCGAGCAGGGCCAGGCGCATTACACCGATAATCCCAACCAGACAGACCCGGATGAGCCGCTAGTGCGCACACGCAACTCGGATGATCTGGAGCATCATGACGGCGGGTTCCCGTCTGGAGACCAAACCCCTGTGACGGCGCGAACCTACTCATACACGAAGCTGTCTATGCTTCATTCCGACGATGCAGCGGATGAAGATACTGATCCTGAAGAAACCCAGTCTTTGATCGGCCCACCGCCGCGAGGCCCGTTCTTGCCTCGTCAGAGCTCCCAGGGCCACATCTTATCGTTTCCAGATGTCGAGGTGACGGCACGAGAAGCCCACGAAGCGCAGCAGACCCGCCTCCAGATCTGGAAAGCTTCTCTTCGCCGAAATGGCGACCGCCTCCGATGCTGGTTTGAGAAGCGAACAAACGCAGTATATCAGCGTCTCCCACCTCACGTCCAGAAGGGGCTCACAGTCTTCACTCATGGAGCAACCCGCTTCCTCCACGGACTCTGGGACTTCATGAACCCGCCACTGTGGGCAATGCTGGTCGCAATTATTGTAGCCTCGGTCCCAGCGCTCCAAAGCCTCTTCTTCGATGACGGGACCTTCATCCGCAACTCCGTCACCCGCGCCATCGACCAAAACGGCCAGGTCGCCGTGCCGCTGATCCTTGTCGTGCTGGGCGCCAATCTCGCGCGCAATACCCTCTCTCAAGAAGCCCTCGCTGACATGGAACACCCGCAAGACGAGCGCAAGGTTATTATCGCTTCTTTGATTGCGCGCATGCTCCTGCCCACTATTATCATGGCACCGTTCCTGGCTCTGCTGGCCAAGTACGTCCCCATCAGCATCCTTGATGACCCTATCTTCATCATCGTTTGCTTCTTGCTGGCTGGTGCGCCCTCCGCGCTGCAGCTCGCGCAGATCTGTCAAATAAATAACGTCTACGTCGGGGCTATGTCTAAGCTGCTTTTCCAGAGTTATGTCGTCTGGTATGTTATTCTCCCCTCACCCTCGATATGGAAATGTGGCTGATCATGAGTCTCTTCTAGGATCCTCCCATCCACGCTCATCCTCGTCGTGTGCGCCTTGGAAGTAGTGGAATGGGCCTCCGCCGCGACTTAGGGAAACTTACTTCCTCACTTTCGTTCCATTGTACGTGTATGAATCTGAAATGGCGAAGCTGGTCCTTGCCTTCTTGTTACTCTCTTTCTTTCATCTTTACACGGGAATGGTGTTTTTGCGGCGTTCTGCTATATGCGCTCGTTGGAGGCCAGGATCATATTCGATCCGTACGGATCCATTCTTTGCATTGCGCTTCCTTTGAAGGAATCATGTTTATGTCGTTATCATCAACGACAAAAGCATTATTCGAACAGGCGACAGTCTATTTAATTCTACCCCGGAAATCCTTGCTCCTAACAAAGATGAGACTTTCTTTCTAGAAATCTTCTATTGTACTATACAATGCATGAGTAACTAGGCAACATGTATACATCAATTGGAACACCAGGGGATCAGCCAGAACAGATCCCCTTTGAACCGACATGAGCTACAACTCCACCCGGATCACCCTGTACATCAATAAGCATAGCCATCCCCGTCGCAAGATGCCACAGAATATGGCAATGAAACATCCACACGCCCGGGTTATCCGCGCGAAAACGTAGCACGGCGTACCCGCGGCTGGGGATCTGGACTGTGTCGCGGAGGGAGGCGCGGGTGAGGTCGTAGGGTTGTTCTTGGGAGGTCTTTGCGTTTGTGTTGTCTGTAGTTTCTTCGGGTTCTAGACCTGGTGGGTAGTCGTCGACGAAGGGGTTGAAGGAGCCCCAGCCGAATGTCGCTTCTTGGACTGTTAGGATGTAGAAGTGGTGGCCGTGCTGGAGGGCCGTTAGTATAATAGAACCAGAAGTTTGTAGCGTACGTTGGGTATGGTATATAGGTATCTGAAACCAAAATAGAGAGAATGTACCCACCAAGTGAAAAGGATGCGGTCCCTCATCAAGGTTATTCACAACAAGATCCACCCACTGTGTCTCCTTTCCAGTCGTAAACGAGAACTGATTCTCATCCCATTGACTCCTTGGCAGAGCAATCAGCGGCACGCGGGGATCCTGCTGTGTCTGCCAGGACGTATGGTTGAAATACCCGAATGGCACGTTGGCGTTGCGGGCCATTTTCTGTATCTTCGTGTAGACGATGTGCGTTTCCTGTGCTTTTGGGGGGAGGTTTTTGAGGACTGAAGGGGAGGATGGGATGTCGTCGAGGTTGATAGTGTTGCGGATTGTGGGTTCGGAGAGTTTGCCCTTAGCCGCTGATTCGGGGGACGAGGATGAGGGGAGGTAGTTTATTTGGAAGGTTTGTTCGGGTGTTAGGGCTGGGTTGACGTATTTGAAGCATCTGGGTGGTTTGTTAGTGACATGGTTTTGTGTTGTGAAGGGGTGGGCGTTGATACTCTTCGTCTAGAGAAATCATTATAGACGATTGCTTCGGGTCTTTTGGTGATGAGTGAAGGATAAAGTCCATGCGTTGGCCGGGGTATAGAATGCCAATCGAATTAACATCGTTCTGCACAGAGCGCGCTGTGTCGATGCTATCCAGCTGTATAAGGTCTAGATGCTCTTGGTCGAATATGAGGGAAATCCCAGCCAGAGCACTGTCACGTAGGTTAGCTAAATAGTCCCCATGGAAGGTATGATACACACCCAGTGTTGACAACACGAATCCGGTACTTCGTGTCCGGGTCAAGGTCAAGAAATGATGAATTAACCCATTGGGCCAGGCAGTCCAGCGGACGAGCGGGAACGGCCATAGAACAGTCAAAATGGCCCACTCCATTGACCAGAAGGGAGTCAGGAACAGGCTAAAATAATGTCAAAAATCGACGGAAACCGAGGGAAACGGCGAATATATCATACCTCATTCCCGAAATTGCCTGGCTCCTTATACCAAGCAAGAACGTCCCCAGATCGCCGATGATACCAATCTCCAATGAGAAGCAGAAGCTCCTTATCGTAGCTCGACTCGTCGCGGCCATGCTCACGGGAAATCAGTCCCCGAACGGTAGACTTGGGAGTCGGTGCATGAACCACCAGACCGCCGTACAAGCCATCCGCTCTCGAGGTACCCGAGTGTGCGTGATACCAAAATGTGCCGCTTTGGTCTAGAGGGATGGTGAAATTATAGACGAACTGGCCTCCTGGAGGGATGGTACATTGTGATACCCCTGCCGCGCCATCCATGGCATCTGTGCGTGATTAGCCGCGGGTGGCTCCTATACATCGTATGTCTCAACTTTAAAATGAACTCACTGGCTACATGGAGACCGTGCCAGTGTAAGGCAATTGACTCCTCTTGCAATTCATTAGTGACGGTGATGACCAGTGTATCGCCAGAGCGAGCCTCAATTGTTGGGCCCGGAAATAGGTCTTTGTTTTTGCCCATCTCGGTCAGTTGGTTTCCCTCGCCAGTGTAGGACAGTCCCGCTCACCATTTATCAGATAGACCTGTTTCAACACACCATCTGGCCGTCGGTTCCCCGTACTAATGCGCCAATCCCGATACTGTGTTACCGCTGGACGGGGGGCATGCTCCTCTGGGCGAAGCTCAATTCTAGGGCGGAGAGCAGCCGCATTCTCAGGTTCAGGCTCAGGGTTATGTGGGTGTTGAATTGGCGATATTAACCGGTCGAGGGAGAACTCCACCGGTCCTTGAAGATATGCCAACACAATCAAGAGGGACACTGCCAACGCCCAGCTCACAATAGGCCATGGTCGATATTGTTTATGATGTTTCTGTTGTTTTCCCAGCTTCTCTCGCGGTCGTCGCATCTGGTCCTCCGGGCGGGGGGTTCTCCGACGCCTGCTCTCCATGGTGGTCGGAGGGTGGTCAGGTCCGACACGCGATTTTAACCTCCTACTGCATGTCACCGTTCCCTTGCCGATCAAGCTGAAGCGAGGGGGAACAATTAACTGGGGTGGATCGATGCAGGGGATGCGACCCCACGTGCCCCTGGCACCTTCACTGATTTGAAACCCGCAGATGCAGCTGTCCTTTGCATGAACAATGTTCGACTTCCGATCGGACCGAGCAGATTAACGCAGACCCAGCGCAACTGTCACGCAACCAACGCAGAATGACCATTGGCGGGTTGTTGAATTCGCATGATTCATCAATATGGAGTCCGGCATGCACGAGGGATCCGCCCATTGGCCCCTTCTGGCTTTCTCTGCGACTAATCAATAGCAAGGGCCCTGTTGGGAATGTTGCTGATCCTGAAATTGTGACCGTGCAATTATCTCGACCCCATAGGGGTCCGGAACGGTGCCGAGGACGCCAGGGTGGGATGAAAGGTGTGGCATTACTTTAAGTACTGCTGGGCTCCTCCTTCCTTCGATCTTCTCAATCGCGCCCCCACCCTTAGTCTTCCTGGATGCTGTGATATCATGGCTCCAAATACGCGGTCAATGCTGGCCACTGCCCTGGCAGTGCTGTTGAGCAGCACTCCAGTCTTCGGAGACTCTCTTAAGGACATTGAGCATGTGGTTATCTTTATGCAGGAGAACCGCGCGTTCGACACCGTATGTCCTACTTTCGGAAGATCATAGATTTAAGCTAATGATGTCAGTACTTTGGGACTATGGCTGGAGTCCGTGGCTTCCAGGACCCAAACGTCCAGGTGAATGCAGACGGGAAACCCGTTTGGTATCAGTGAGTAGTGTTACAGCACTGCCAATTGGTGAAAATGGTTCTAACGTGGAACCAAGACATGTCGACTCGAGCATGTCCAGCGATACGACCACTTTGCTGCCTTTCTACCTGGGTTACAAAGGTGGCAATTGGTCTGATGCTATTCAGTGCATGGCGGCCGGTGACAACGGCTACCAGGCCAACCATGCAGCCCTCAACAACGACTTGAACAATATGTGGGCGCGGAACAACACCCCGTGGAGCTGGGGTCATCTTAGACGGCAGGATATCCCCATTCAATTCGCTCTGGCGGAGGGCTGGACCTCGGGCGACATGTATCAGGAAAGTCAAATCACAGCGACCAACCCGAACCGTGTCACGCTAGTCAGCGGCTCTGTAAACGTCCCGGGAGGCCCGCAGACTCCGGATCAGGGTGGAGTATATATTGATAACAACGAGGTGCCAGGTGAGCGAGCCTTTAGTCTAGTGTTTTGCGGGGTTCTAACAATAAATCAGGCTGCGAGAGCAAGAACGTCAATTGCTACCCGCTCAAGTGGAAGACCATCTACGAGTTCTATCAGGATGCTGGAGTCGACTGGCAGGTCTACCAGGACAAGAACAACTTTGACGACAACCCGCTGGCCTGGTTCCAGCAGTACCAGACCGCTTCGAAGGATTCTCCGCTCACCCAGCGAGGCATGTCCTACCTTGGACTGGATGACTTCTACAACCGGGCTGGCAATGGCACTCTGCCAGAAATCAGCTTCATCGTCGGTCCCATGGAGCTGTCTGAGCACCCGCCGTACCAGCCCAAGGATGGCGGCTGGCTGCAGAAGAAAGTGACCGACGCGGTTATCAACAGCCCCAAGTACAAGAACACACTGCTGATGGTCAGCTACGACGGTAAGAAACCATCCGATCCACAGCTCGAGAGAAGTCCCTAACACCGATCCAGAGACCGGCGGCTGGGGTGACCACGTCACTCCTTTCCACTCTCCGAAGGACACTCCTGGAGAATGGTTAGAGGATCCGTTGGGCTTGTTTGGCGATGTCTTCGTGGGGCCTGGCTTCCGGGTGCCCTTCTACTTGATCTCCCCGTGGACCCGTGGGGGCAAGGTCTTCACCGAACGCGCAGACCACAACTCCCAGATTTTGTTCGTGGAGCAGTGGTTGGAAGCCCGTGGCTACAAGAATGTCGTGACGAATGAGATGGTGCCGTGGCGACGTGCTCACATGTCCAATCTGCTGAATGCATTCGACTTCGACCACCCGGACTACTCTCTTCCCAACATTCCCGTCGCTGAGACCCCAGAGACGAACAGTAAGGGTACCTACATTGGCTCGGCTCAATGCCAGGCCAAATATTCTCCTCAGCGCCCTCCTGTTCCATATGGCGAGCAGGGTGATGAGGAATCTGCCCTCTGGTTCGAAGAAGGCTACAAGCAGGTCGTGGGCTACCTCACCGAGGGTCGCTATCTGACCTTCGAGAAGGGCGGGTCCGCTCTAACGAACCCGGGCCAGGGCAATCATCTGTCCAGCAGCCCTGCATCCTCCAACCACAGCGCCAAGTCTCAGCGCTGGGTGATCCACTACAACAGCGACGAGGAGAGCCAGAAGTTCACCATCTCGAGTGCACTGGATGGCCGCTGGCTTGGAGCCGGTGGCAAGCTGTTTCCCAATGACCAGCCGTCCAACGCAGCGGAGGTGAAAATCACCTTCCTCGGCGCTGGCCAGGGCTATTCTCTGCAGTATGCCGCGAGCGGTGCGTATATCGATGTCGCCCACGGCGGATCCCTGCGTGTGTCTCACATGCCGAACGTGCCAGCGAATGGCTACGCGGTGTGGAGTGTGTCCTATCGGGATTAAATGAATGAGCACTTGGTAGTGTCTTCTGCCAAGTGGTGCATATATAGAAAGCATGGTTATGGTGCCGCATGCATATAGCAAGAGAAGGGGTGACTAGTGAGAGTAGATACATATTATACGATGGCATGATTTGATGCTATGAGGCTGTTATTGTAACATATTCTTTCTCAGTAATCGGCAGACTTGTTGTACTCGAGGTTGCACAGCCTGCGGCTGTGTGCACGCAATTTCCTTCTTGCTGGCCCTGGGCTATCCGACCCCGATTTGCAATCAGTATCAACATCTCAGACCCATCTATGCAGCCGCGATGGTAAACGGTCCTGCAGCATTATAAATCGTAGGCATCTATCCCAACCCAAAGTCAACATCGGTCAAAGGAAACTTGGGAAAAATACATACCTGCGGCGCCGTAGGCAGATCAGTACTCAACCTCAAATACCAAACATCCCCATTCTTGACCTTAGGCAAATGCTCCGGGATTTTAACCGCCACCGCACCATCAGCCTCGCGGATCCCAGTGGCAAGTCTGATAGACTGGTCAAACGAGATGGTATCCAGGTGGCGCACGGGGTTGTTGTACAGAAACACGCTGTACTCGTCGCCGGGGTATTTATTCAGCGGGTCCGAGCAGTGCGTTGTTGGTTTTCGGTTGAAACGGAGATGGATGGTTTGGCCGGCCGTCACGGTGGAATGGTCTGGGATTCCTTGGTAGACATTTACGCAGGCGTAGTCACGTTTGCCCCATGCTGATTGATCATGGTGAGTCTGTCTTCGGGGCAGGGTCCATGTATGGACGAGGGAGAGGGGAACCTACGTTGCCATTTGTCGAAGGCCATGGCGCTGGTGGCTAGGATGGAAGTTAGGATTGTTCCTGAGAGCTTCATTTTGAGGAATTTAGAATAAGGAAAGCGGAATGGATGTTGGGGGAGCAATGTAGATCAGAGTGGAAGAAGCCTCTTATATAGTTTTTGACTATATCCTGCAGTACCCTCTTCCATCTACTCCGGAGAAACACAAGATCCTAAATATAACTAAACTTTGGCAAAATCGTATCTCTCACAGTGGCTGGTCGTGTCTCACTCACTCCACTGGTGGATCGTCGTTTTTTTTCGCAGCTTGGCATCGGGGTGGAGTGATTGATGCCGACGAGGATGAGACCTGCTGATCTCTTGCCACAACAAGCCTCACGTCCGAGTTGGCAAATCAGTAAGTGATGTGTGCCTGAGACCCTGCAGAAAGAAGCGTGGACGGCTTCGCCCCAATAACATCAGTCGGAGATGCTGCGCTTACTTCCGAATGTACTTGACCGCCGCCGACCCACTACTCCGCTCTTCAATTCATTTTCTCACAACTACCCTTTAGGGGGCAGCAATGGGAGAGCTACACGACCCGACAATGAAATTTGAGAGTCGATAGAGGCTATAATCGCCTCGATCTCGTTCTGGGCATGACGACACCCCGCAAAGAGTCCGGCCGGGTTGGCAGCACCAAGTCCAGGACAGGCTGCGATACCTGCAAGTAAGCTTGCCGAGCTACCCCCATTACCTGCATAGTCTTGGCAGAATGACTTACATTTTTCTCCCAGGATTCGGCGTGTCCGGTGTGGCGAGGAGAGACCGTTCTGTCTGCGCTGCACCAGCACAGGTCGGCGCTGTTTTTACCGCGCCCAGCACACAGCCAGCGTGCCGAATTTGCCCCAGCTAGACAACTATGGGCAATCTTCACATCCCGAACGGCGCGCATTCGAGTATTACTTCCACCAAGCCGGACCTGCTCTCTCAGGGATCTTAGACCTCGGTTTCTGGAGTGGTTCCGTTCTGCAAATCTGTCGCCTGGAGCCGGCAGTGTGGGATGCGGTGATCGCACTGAGTGCGCTTTATGAGCGCCCTCCCGTTCACGAAGCGCGTCCATTTTCACTCCTGAAAAGTCCGGCTGCGGTGCGGCATAGCTATCATCATGATGCGCTGGTGTGGTATTCTCGCTCACTGGCTGCCTTGCGGCAGCGGATCGAGAGCGGCACGGCTGATGTTACAGTGTCGATGATCGGCTGTATTCTGTTCATTGCCATTGAGCTCTTGCAAGGAAATCGCAATGCTGCCATGACATTGTACCAACAGGGGGCGCAGATGATGACCAGTGACATGGCAACAGGTGGTCGAACGACGTCTTCACTACTCCTCTCCACGATCAAGTCTCTTTTCCAGCGCCTGGGTACCTGGGTATTCGTTATTCGAGGCGTTCGTGAGGATAGTTGGTTCCCTGGGCTGGATGATATGACGGAACAGTTCACCTCGTTGGGGGAGGCCCGAAATGTCCT